ACTTCAAAATACATTCAAGTAGAAAAAAGGATCAAGCTGAATGCAAAAGGCACAGCCCTGTAATTTCAAACCCACTGAAAGAACTGGATCCACCAGATAGTCTCTGCTCCCACACCCAAACAACTTTGCAAGTTGATGGGGTGGGGAGAGATCAACTTGGGAAGCARAGATTCCCATCCTCCTGATTTAAAAAGAAACAATAACTTCAAAGAACATTAGAGACATGAGCCTGAATGAGCAGGAGCCAGCTTCAGAGACACGGCAAAGTAACACCCCAAACACACACACGCCARCAACATGAGCTAGGAGGCATGTTCTGCACGACTGTGCCAGGAGACTCCAGTTTAACCAGGTACTCGGGAGCTTTCACCTTTACTCCTCCCACAGCAGCACCTCAGGCTTTGGCAGAGCGTCCATCTGCTGCACTTGCCCTGTTTGGTTCTCAAGTCAATGCTCTTGACAAATTGCTGGGTTTCCAGCATGGGGCCTACTCYTCTGCACATGGGACATCAGTCATCGCTTCATTTCCTACCCAGCTTCACCRCGAGAATCCCTCTTAGTGATCCAGCGGTAAATAAATTGCTAGGAGAGAAACCATCCCTGTCCAAGAAGTGCTGAACTGAGGTATAACAAAACTGAGGAGCTTGRTGTCACCAGGCAACCTGCCACAGAGCTTCACAGCAGCCCAGGCTCTTTAACCACAACCCTTCCCCTGGGAATGCTGGCTGCTCTGCACACAGAGACCAGTATCAAACCTCCAGTGACTTCAAGAATTAAGATGTCATTCCCTGGAAATCAGAGAGGTAGAGATTMTACTGTTATTTTTTTCCTGAAGAATGGTCGTAATCAGGAGCCCAACCTGCAAATCAGAGTGCCCTGAACCCAGACAAAGCATCAGCCCTGACCATGCTGTGAGGGAAGATGAAGACACATTCTTTGACAACACATCATTGTTCAATTCTATGGACTCGGTAAGTCATGAATATTATTAAGACTTTACCAAAGGTAACCTTACTTATATGCAATCTATTCTACTTTCCTCTTAAAAGCTCACTTAATATTCATTAAAAAATAGCTTTTATAATAGTTTTTGAAAAATTAATTCAGAGAATCACAGCTTTAGCAAATCCTTTATATGGTTATCTGCTGTCAGATGCAAGAAGATTGGAAAAAAGGAGCATATAAAGACAAATCCTGCTCTTAAAAATACTAAATAAAAATAAATTATGCTTTTGMATGTTTGCTTTAATTTCAACAGATTGCTTTGTGTTCACAGCTTGGTTTTCCCTTTCCATCCACAAGTAACAGGGCTGGCCCAAATCCATRATGAACTGTGCTCTGTCATGCAAGACCCACTCTACGCTCAGCGTAAGATCCGTGGATACACACACACACCCCTCCACAGCAGAGGAAACACCTCCCCTGCCAGCAGGAACTGTGCTGTCCTGCACACACCRGCTCTTTGGGGCACAGACTCCAGCCTGCTCTTGCCTATGCAGTGTGACAAGGCCCTTCAGGAGTTATGATAATATCTACAACAGACTCCTCTGATCTCTACCTCGCTTCTTCCCCTGGGGAATGTGCAGAAAGGAGCCTTATACAAAACCCGCTTCCCTCTTAATTTAAAAACAAATGAACTGAAGAACAGCATGTTTCTGGGGGGTTAACAAAGCTTCTCTCCARTTTACAGCTTACACTAGATGTCAGAACACATTATGCATTGCTTTCATCCAGAAATAAAACAAGAATTAACAGCAATACTCACAAATAACTACAAAATACTAGCAAAACTTCAAGTGGCTTGGGAAAAATAYATCTGCTGATCCCATTATCCTATTACCCCTGGATTTACTTTGTTCTTCTCATCACTGCAATCAGCAGCAAAATGCACAGTGCCAAGTCTGCATTATATAGGGAAACACCATCTCTTGCCATGGCCAGGTGAATACCCAAGCTGCTACAATGCTAGTTTGCTTTCTGTGGCCCAAAAAAGCTGTGCAGTACCAGGGTCTTAGCAGGCAAGGTGTTTGCTTCATACAGAATTGGAGCCTCAGAGAAGACTGGACCCAAAGGCAAGTGTAAGCCAGGCTGGGGATGGGTGAGATTGTTCCCATGCTCTGCTGTGTTAACCATCACCTCCATCCCCACCCTTGGGAGACAGAAAGGCTCTTCCATTTACAGCAGACGTTGCCTAAATCATGATGATGGTGCTGAGGAACACACGGGACCCTGATAACCCCTTACCTAAGCATTCAAGCTCTGCGGAGAAGGATTCCTCTTCCTTTCAAACACCCTAAATCCCTCTAAATACCAAACAGACAACAAAAAAACCTGTCGAAGTCATCTGATTGCATCACCCCTCCTCTCTCTCCAGGACTCAAAAGCATGTCTCCAAATAGCTATTAGCTTTGCAAAGCAAAACAGATGTTCCCTAACACCCAAATCCTGGCCGCCTGCGAGGTGCCGATGGCTGCAGCACCAAGGAGCGGCAGGAGCGGGGCTGTGTCTGCGCATCTGTGCTGCGGAGGGGAGAGGGATGGGAGACGTGCTCCCAATACCCAAACGCCTCTGCCAGCCCCTGCGCTGCCTTTCTCCATCCGAACGCGCTCGACACACCCAAAGGCAGCGACAAAAAAGAAACSCGAGCCAAAACCCGGGGGGATGCGGCAGGCGAAGCGCCCATCTCCCGGATGAACGCCGCTGTGCCCAGGTAGCCGCCGCATCCCCGCGGAGAGCCGTGCCCGGCGGAACCCGCCTCACCCACCTGCTTCTCCTCTGCGGGGCGGCGCGGCCAGGATGGGATGCCCGCGGCGGGGACCGGCAGCGGGGAGAGAAAAGGAGACACGGTGAGGCGAGAGGGACGCGCCGGGCCGCGGGGCGGAGCGGCCGCGCGTCCCCGCCGCCTCACCTGGGTTGACCAGCTTGCTCTTGTACCGCATGCCCGTGCTCATGGTGCCTCCCCGGAGCGACAGCCGTGCCCGTGTGTGCGAGGGTGGGTGGGGGACTGAAGGAGTGCGAGCGCCGGGGCCGCCCCGCTCCGCCGCCGAGGGGCCGGGGCCGTCCGGGGCCGCCAATCCCGGGAGCCGAGCCCGCCCCGGGCCCGCCCCCGCCGGGTGACAGCCGGGCCGGGGGCTGCCGGAGCCGGGCAGGGCAGCGGGACCCGCCGGGTGACAGCCGGGCCGGGGGCTGCCGGAGCCGGGCAGGGCAGCGGGACCCGCCGGGTGACAGCCGGGCCGGGGGCTGCCGGAGCCGGGCAGGGCAGCGGGACCCGCCGGGTGACAGCCGGGCCGGGGGCTGCCGGAGCCGGGCAGGGCAGCGGGACCCGCCGGCCGGAGCACCGGAGCACCGGAGAGATCGCCCCGGCCCCGCCCGTGCCAGCGGCTGGAGAACGCAGCCCCGAGCCGGGCCGATGGGCAGCAATCAGGCAATCATCCCCCTGCACCGGGCTCGCTACACCTCCCTGAAGGTTTAAACACTATAAAAGGCAGCACTCCCTGCTCTGGAACACAAATGCAACAGCGACAAGGGGGAATACAGTATTAAAAAAAAAATACAAAACCCAAACACAAATGGAATAAATAGGAAATAYGCTTCCAGATTTAGCGTCTCAAAATACAGTGGGAAGTCCTGAATCATACTGCAACCATGCTGTGTGAAGTAGGAATGTGTGCTCTGTTTCCATTAAAAAATTTTAAAGAGGTTATATGGAAAGTTATTTTAGGTAAAAGCTGTCAGCATAACTCTTTAAAACGAGGCAAGAGAGAACTTAAATGAAAAGCAGCAGTCACAAATGGTATGAGAACAGCTCATAGAAAAGTCAACAGTAGAGAAGCAAGGAAGAGTAAGGACACCCAGATCCTTCCATGGCTGCAGGGAGTGGTCATGTYTTCCCCATTTGAAGGACAGGCAAATCATCAGACCTGAAACTCTTCTGAATCCAGGACAGGATAAGCTCGGCAGGGTGACAGCTGCGTAACTGAAGGGCACTGCCCTGCCTTGGAACAAACCTGACACAGATGCTACAACACCAACTTTTCAAACCCTTGTAGTCATCACAGCATTTATCTTGGCATTTCTTCCACCTTCTCATTCAAAACATCCCTCATAACAAAACAAGGAGACACTTGCAAGACCTGGCAATCCCAGGCACACATATTTTCAAAATGCATTAGCTCATTCTGAGTTCACTTTTATCCATTGATTCAAAGCATCAGAAAAAAATAAATCAGGTAATTGTCAGTAAATTTCCTTGTTTTTAAATGCCAGAGAGCCACAGATCATTAGAGACTCTGCACCACAATTAAAGGCACCAAACGAGCCAATCAGCCTTTCATGAGTTGTTTTATAGTCTGCCACAGTGTTTCAAAGCAAATGAAGACTGAAAGGACCGCAGTSAACTGCTCTTTGATCCTGCTGAACACTCATTACCAAAGTTACATGTGGGCACTTTGTCCCAGTGCTGGAAAATGTCAATCTGGAGAATGCCAAGGTGAAATGCAGAGAAAGGAACTTGTCTTCCAAGGCCCTGGCACTGCCAACACTGATGGGAGTTGATGTATTTCTGACACCTAAGGCCAGAAAGAAGGGTCCAGCCAGTATCCACTATCCAGAGAGCCCCACAGTACAAAGACTTGGCTTAACAACTATATATTCCCCCAGTAAACTGTTAAGTATTTTAACAAAACCAAGTTCAAATGTAACTGAAAACTAACATCAGTCAACATCAAAGAAGTGGCAGAAAGCATAAAAAAATAAAACTACGTTGAAAGGAAAGTACTCACATATGGAACCAGCAGCTCTGCAAGCCCTTCTTGGACAATTATTAAAATAGATCTCAAATTTTGAGCCAAAATGCTCCATCTGGCATCCACAAACCCAAAGAAAATACAGACTATCAATTGGTACTCATCATCTCCTAGTAAAAATCTTTTCATTGAGGCCTCCCACACAAGAATTGTGACAGTGACTTTAGGTGCCTTGCTTTAAAGAGATTAATTTTATTAAAAACAGAAGGTTTTTTAAAGACTAGATGTTTTTGACAGTCTGCTTCCCCGTTGCCCTAGCTGGCTTTGAAAGACTAAGCTTTCATGCCACCTTTGCTCAGAGAGCTAACCCAGCTTGTAACTCATGTCTCCAGATGAAGTCTGGGTTCCTCAGGAGGGGTGTGGCTGTCCTGACTTTAACAAGCACAAATGGACAGCACATAATTAAGAAGGTTGCAAAATATGATGCAAAACCCTGGAAGAAAAACAAGAAGAAAGGTGCAAACGACAGCAAACAAATGATGAAAAAAAAATTGCTATTAAATCTCTCACCTTGGGCCTTTGGACAGACAGACATGGTTAAATTCAAATCTTCATAAAATCAGAAGAAAATTTGTGTGAATGCAAATCTGTCACTCCATTTCTTCTTTCAACTTCATTACAGCAGCCACTGAAGTAACAACGTAATGTCCACTTTATGCAGTTGAACTCCAAATAAGCCAATATGCATTCTTGTGATGCCAATAATTTATGAATCCTATCCTGATCAAACACTCATTGCTAGACAGCAAAATTAGGGGTAATCATTACATGAAAGACACCCCAATTTAGTACAGAAGACAAAGTGTCTCAACTCCATACTTGGAAAGTAATTTACACTTGTGCATATATAAAACACACAACTACAAAAGAATGCAGAAGAGAGCTATAACTCAGTAATGACATAAAGGAAATAGCAACATTCATGAACCTATAAAGTAAGGTGTGTAAAAAGATTTTCCAAGACATTCACCCATCTAAAGACATCAGTAGATGCCTAATGAACTTTGGGAAAAAAGTGGATATGAAGCTTTGCTACCTAACTTCCAGGTAAAACACTTTGAAAGTTGTTTTGAAATGAAATCAAAGCAGTTTGCAGGTAGACAAATTTTAGAAAACACTTTCAAAACACCTTCAGGGTAAACATCACAATTCCTTTGAATATGCACTGTCCACAATGCCATTACAGAGTTTCATACATAAGCGTGAAAAGGCAAAATGAAATAGAACAACAAAAACCACCCCAAAAAAGTCAATGTTTTCCACATTCATACAATTTATTACAAAACTTCAATGAAAAGTAGTGCTATGGTATATATAAAAATTCAGTACATGCCATTGTTCAGCTGACAGAAATGCCTGTGACAAATTTTTGCCATCAATATTTGAGACCTGAAGCCAAAMCTCCAGAGGCATCCACACAAGTTGKTGGTGTGTGGAGTGTTTATGGTGTGTTAAGGCACRGAGATTTAGAAAAGTCAGCTTTTTTGAATCACTGGTGAATCATCGGCGCTTTGTACATTTTCTCATACATCACACAAATGCAAATCACCAGRGATGAAGCTTCAAAAGCAACAAAAGCACAGAGAAAGTTCTGAGAAACTGATACGATACATAATAACCTAAAATGGCAGGTGAAAGTTATAACACTGTGCAAACACACGTACATTTACTGTAAACAGGCCACAAAGTCTTAGTGTTAACCACGAAACCATTCAGAACAACCTAGCAGATAAATGATTAATTCCTTAAACCCACCACAGTGACTAGTCCAAGCAGTGTACTCTTAGCAGTTTCTGAATAAAAAGGTATAGGAAGGATAATAAAATCACATGGATAAGTATGAAGACAGTGTTACCAAAAGAATCCAAAAAGATACACTATAAGTTGAATAACATTGAATATATAAAACRAGCAGTTTTACAACACAATCTTCAGACTTTGTGTTTGTTTTAACGCAGGTCTTGGTCTGTGGCATCCAGCTTTTGCATTTGAACGTTACCACTTGGGCAAAGAATACAGAGCACCCATCCACTTAGAGAACCGTATGCTGCTGGGAACAAAAGTGGGAAACAGAGCATTAGAAAGGACAAACTCTCAGCACTGTCAGAGCATTGGGGGCAGCCTGAGCCCCTCTGAGCTGGGGGAATAGGGAGTTTTAGTTCCTGCATCACAGGGACCTGCATTACAACTACATCAGCTGAGCAGTTTGGTCCCAAATATTTACCACAAATGTCTAATGGCAGCTTATAAATGAGGACTTATTTTTAGCTACAGAGTTTCTTAAGCACCCACACCCCCCCTCAGCCTGCAAGAACACAAGGAGAGTGTTACAGCTCCCCTCAACAGTCCTGCACACAACACATCGACCTTGGCCTGTTCTGTGAAGCTTTATTGCTGCTGAGGGAAATAAACCACTCAGCTAAACAGGGTTAGGAGAAGGCAGCAAGTTTGATATCATGCACCAACACTGCTAAGGTAAAGCAGGAAAGCAAACATTTTTTTCAAGCATTCATATAGTAGTGCTCCCGTGGCTTGAAAAAAAGGGATACTGTTATGTAATTTCAAAAATAACTACCAGTTTTGGATATTTCTACAGCTGACAATCGAAAAGGCTACTACAAAGAAAGCAGAAACCCAGCCTTCCCTGAAAGTTGGATCCTGCATAAAAAGTTGTGTCAGATTTAGAACTCGGGGAAACACCTCGAATTCTCCAGTCCCAAAATACTCATTCCTAACAGAAAAAACCAGCTTAATCTAAACACTCATCTGGATGGAAAAATAGAAATATCGGAGAAAACACACTGCTGTGTCAACTTACTTCTAACACTCATCCAGACTACAGCTGGGATAAGGAGCAAGGTGCTTTACTCTTTGCCATTCTCATTGTGGGAATTCTGTTCAACACACAATTCCTTCTCATTTTAAGGAGCCCATCAGTTCCAATACCAAATAAACCATGCAAGCTAGCAATAAGGTTTTAAAACCAGAGTCCATAAATTGCTAAGCAAATTCAATATTCAAATTCAAAATTAACCTGTTGTGCTATACTGCTACTTCGAATATGAAAGAGAAACTTGATTTCTGCTACTGCCTGCCCAAMTCTAATCTGTTACAGAAGATACCTCAAGAAGAAACTGTAATTCATGTTTCAGACTCACAAAAAGACTGGAATTTCCAATAAACATGAAGGCTTGGGTTATAAGCACAGCTGTGCATTGATGTTAGCAGCATTACCCACACTTTATAAGCTTGTAGAACACACTTGGGCAAAGTATGTTTGTGCAGTTATAACAGGGATTCATTTCACTGYTCTTTCTTCCTCATCTCCTTGTAAGGCAATATTTTGTGATACAATTAAGTTGATACTATTCTTAACAAGTTTGACCTCCAGCTTTATTAGACTAATCTTGTAGTTCCCCCATGCTCATTTCACAACACACAGAATTAACAAATGCATCTATATGCAATCTGAGCTCATACCATCAAGTAAAAAAGAGGATACATTTCTCCAGAGTGCCACTAAACAAAACTCAGCAAGTACATTCACTGGCAAGCCTTACATACACCTGCATCCTGATCATGYGGTCACATAGCTCAGAATCTTGTATTTATAAAGATTTTGGAAACCTTGTCAAGGAATGGGTTTGCCTCCCCCTCAGCACTTCCAAGAACGCCACTACAACACAGGGTGACTTGACTCCTCTACGTGTTCACACCTGAATTCCCAATGAGAGATATTTGCTTTATRAGCAGCTACATTTTCTCACCTAAATTGTTTTTCTTCAAATAGCACCCATTTTATGCTGTAACTGCAGCCCTTTGAGTGTCCCATTGTCAGCAGAACTTTGAGAAATGGCATCTTTCCAAAAGGCAGAGGAGTACTGGATGACACCAATGCTCTGCCRTATGTTTTGACTCATTTTGTCACCGCACCCCAAACATTCTGGTTCTCTACTATTTCAGTCACCCTGTGTGGACTTCACTGCTCCAAGTTTGTTCCCTTTCCTTTGCTACTCTGTAGCAAGAGCTTATACTTCCCCACAGCAAACATCATCAGCCCAGCTCACAGTAAGTTACAAAACTGGCCTTTGAGCTGATTTACATGCTCATCAGTTCAATACATTAATAGGGTTGAAAACCACGGAGTCACATCTACATACCAGAATCCAAGATTCAAAACTATCTGTCTCTTTAGCAAAAAGTGCCCTGACCCATTTTCAGGTTCCCCATGATGCCATATAATTTCCAACAGAAATCTGTTCTCTAAGGGTGAAAAAGCTTGTGCCAGCCCATCAATGCAGGGTTTGCTGAACAACTCCACAGCCAGAAGAGCTGAGGAGAGCTGGAGGTTGACAGCATCCTCCTGGTCTAGTTTCTCACCAGAGAAACATCCATTGGCAGTGCCAGGCAGTTGCTCCAAATACTACAGATTTGCCCAAGCTTCACATTCYCTAGGCTCTCAATTTCAGCTGCCAAACCCTACAGCATCATCTCTTGCTTCCTCAAATGACATTTCTCATCAGATCAATTCAGCATTCAGCAGCATCGTTTTAGAAGGCTGGTTGCTATGACAATGCTTTGTGTTGTTCTGTTAAACGATGTCAATTCATTGGTAGAAAGAAGGAGCTGTTTGGTGTCTTTAGCACTGTTCTTATCAAGAACCAGAATAGTGTTAATGTGCTCAGGAGGCTTTAAAATACTTGTGGAAATCACACRCTTTACAAAAAGAATTTTCAACATCCTACAGATATTTTAAGTGCAAGATGCTTGGGTTTCTTTTTTGTCTGAATATATTTCCCTAACTATAACTACATTTCCAGATGGCTCTATTAGCATTCCACAGCCTGGCTTCTGTTACTGATTTGTCCCAGTATGATCCTGAAACTGAGTGAAGACAGACAAACCAGATTTATAAGAATAACAAGCGGAAAACAGATTGCAAAGAGATACATTTCGAGAAACAGTGAAGGAAAGGGGAGAAACATCCACCAATAACCATTTAATTTGATACAGTTATTGCAGCTTTTCATAATAATTGCCCAKCTGAGATGGACAAGCTCAGAAACTAGTGAATGTGCTACTGGAGTTACTGCAGGCTTATTTTGAAAGCATTTCATATTTGAGCACCCAAATAAAAAGAAATCTGTTTTAGGTTTTGATACCTTATTCCATCCTTTCTCTTCAATCCCTCATGTGAATTGTCAACTATAAGAACCAATCAGCTCCTACATTTTAMAGCYGTGTCTTGTATTTTACAAGAAAAAAAAAATCAGGAGGATTAGTAAGGTGAGTATATCAAAAGTCAGGGTAAAATATTTGTTACTAGTTATTCTAAGAATATTCTCATGTCTAGCTGTGCTCTCAATGCCTGCTCCACCTGCACTGTTTGTGCACAGAAGCTATGAAATGTTTAGAGGAAACAGGCARAAGTGTAAATCAACACACCTTTGTTAGGGCTGCACTCAAAAGATCTTAATCACAACAATCTGCTCTCACAGGCTTTTGTCAAAAACTGCATTTGGAAATAGGAATGACCAGTCTGGCAAAATCCCCTTCCTTTCCTACCTCTAATCCAGTCTCTACCAGCATTTATCTTCATTCCCTTTCAGTATTCTACTGCTCCACATCTGTCCACACTCTCTGGAAACCTTGAATRTATTTCCTGAGTGTAATCTTTGTCTTTGTCACTCCCCTTACTCTTCTCTTACTCCAGTCTTGAAAGTAAAGGAAACKTTTTGAAGTAAATTCTCCCTTTGCTCTTTCCACAAAACCTTTAAAGAAGTCCCTATTCAAAAGGGAWCAGGCAAACCAGACCTTCCAGTCATCCCATCTGTGTAGCACATTCTGGTAACACAGACTCGTCAGTCTTTTGAGTTTAGCCCTTTTTCATCATTACGCAATGCCCCTCCTAGAAAACCCCAAACATTCAGCAATCTCCTCCCCACCCCAAAATACATCTGAAATCACAAGTGGGWATTTCACCTACTTGGATATTAAGATATTTCATTACCCTACTGTTCATTCTCCAGCTCTTACCTATGAAGGTCTTTTATACCACACCACTCTTTTTCCAAAATACCTGAAAAAAATCTTAATTTCTGTGCTTTATATAGGGAAAAATATTTGAAGGGGCTTTTGAAGAAAATACAAAAATTAGGTATATAATCAAAATAAAAAGTGTRAAAATACTATTTTTTACTTAAACTCTGTGTTTATAAAGTCATATCTTTTTCTCAGCACCAAGCAAGTGTGCCAAAGAACAATGGGAGGAGAGACTGTGCTTTCAGTAGCACAGATGATCCTTTAAAGTTCTTGTAAAACTAGAACCTGAGAGATGCTCAGGATAAACTGTGATGGAACAAAAAGATTAATAACAACTACATTTAAATTTGTTGGCAGTTTGGTTCTGTTAACCACTGTGTAATTACAAGTTTYCTGGTTTCTCTAGAAATAGCGAGTTCAATAAAATACAGCAAATAAATCTGATGGGAATGCTGGAGTTTGAACCCATCACTCCTCCTAAGCTGCAAAGTCAGTTAACATGCATGAGAGAAACTTCCCTAAGGCTAAGCTCTGGATGAGGATTCACTCAAACATGCTGCCAGGATCACACAGCAACACCCTGCTTTGGCAGGACTGCATCTGCAGTTCTGACTGTGCATACTGGCCAACAAACTACACTAAAAATCTATCTATCTACCTATCTATCTACCTATCTATCTATCTACCTATCTACCTATCTACCTATCTATCTATCTACCTACCTACCTGTCTGTCTGTCTGTCTATCTCTCAAGGGTAACAAAAACAGAAGTTCAAAAGCCTTTCCTGAAAGCAATGTGCCAAACATGATTTCCACAGCAGCTGTACAAACGTTGCTTAGCAAATTCCAAAGAAACAGCAGGACCTCCATGTATGAGGATCTCATTCAAATCCTTTTCAAAATCATACATACTCAGTTTTTCAGACCAATTAACTTGACCTCCAGATTTAGTTCAAATCACAACAAGATCATGGGAACACTCAAGCCTGCAAAGTCTCCTGCTTAACACCCGGCGTGGTCCTAGCTGCACTGCAGATTTGCAGTGTGAGSTATCTACAGAGGAACATTTTCCTTGGACAGACATGAGCATGCCCAGAACTCTGTTTACTTAYGTAGCCATGGCTGCAAATTCAGCCTGGGACAAACCATGCTCCAGTTCCTCTTTATAAAGACCATATCCAGTATTGCCAGAAGCTGTGAAACACCAAGGGCCATTTCTGGCTAACCATTAGTGGGAATACTCTGTCCCATCACCCTCAGATGCTGATTTCACAGCAAAGCCAGCATCTAGGAACTGAAGAAAGAACTCTGAATATATTTCTACCCCTTACCATCCTTTGCTCTGCAAACAATAACTATGGACAAGGTTATTAGATTTATGATGTTTTTTCTTACTGAGCATCAGTTTCAAGATGCTGTGTGATTAAACATTATTTCTAACTCACACAAAGAATTGAGTTCCTTAGCAAAAAACAGTATCAATCATTCACTAAATAAGCTTTTCTGCATCAAACAACCATTTCCACAAGTGGTCAGAATTTGGCCATATGATAACAAAGTCACTGTGAAAACTTGGAACCTTCAATTCAGACCATAAAATTTGACAATATTGAACAGGCTGCAAAATGAGCAGCTCCTGTCTGGGGAATGAGAGCTTTCTGTTGGACACTGCTATCACATACACCMTGTGGTCAGCCACAAAATTATCCTCAGTGTTTAGATTTCCAACTCTGGGAAAAACATATCTTACTATGGAAGATGGAGGACATGATGTGAAGACTCCTCTATCTGCAACAGTTGAAACTRTGACAGCAAGAAATCTGAGACTGAATTACTTATTTCCCTTATGGTCACTCAATGACAACAGTGCACATACCAGTAAWCCCATCAACTTCTTTTTGGGGTAAGTCAGAATCCAGTGAATAAGTTTATTTCTTAATTATTTTTTTCTTCTTTTTATGTAAACAGGAAGACTGAAAGTTCAAATAAAGGCAACAAAAATCTCCTTATTTTAGGCTTGGAATGTTGGCAGCTGACACAAGGTCATAAGGGATAATATAATCCATTTTATTCAAGCTTTACATTCCACAAGACCAGCAATCACAACTAGAGTATTAAACTGAAGTATTAAGCAACAASTCTCCTCATATCCTTCCATTATTTTGTTCATGCATTTAAAAGAAGAATTCTACCAGAAGAAAGAATGAGTATGTGCTACACAAATTTTTTCTTCACTCACTGTGATGCCCCCTAATACATCACACACACCATCAAGGGAGTCTGGATTCAGTACACCTGAGCAGTTTGTAAAATTTTGTTCGGCTCTTTGAGAAAACTGTTAAAAACTGATCAGCCTACACACCCCCAAACACTCTAAATTTTGTTTACATATAATCAAATTAATATTCAGAGTAGTTTGTGCTAACAGAAGCAAAGCCTGATGATCCAAAAATAAGGCCCTGAAGAGAAGCATTTACAGGTCTTAAAAACAGCTGGTAAGGTAACACTGGCATAGATTTTTTCTAGTCTACCCAGAATATCACTTTTCTTTTTCTGTAAGTTCTGTAAATAYAAATCCAAAGTACAAAATTAACAATAATCATTGTGAACACCTTATGTAAGAGGAGAGAACAAGTCAGAAAAGCAATACCTGATGTATCCAGATGTTAAGCATCTTAGTCATCACCAGGCTTCATCCTCATCTGGGCTTGCATCTGGGCAATCATCTCCTGCATGCGGCGTAGCTGGAAGAGAAAAACACCCAAGTGTTTACAACAACTTCATGAGAAGCCCAAAAATCCAGGAACTGTACATCTTTTTCTTCCATGGTAGAACACAGATCCTATTTTCCCCTTCACAAACTGGAAATGTTCAGTAATTTACATAACTGAATACTTTGGTTTYCCCCATCTATATTCTTCAGTTCATTACATCTAATTTTTACAATAGATTTGTAAGAATATTTATAATGAAAACTAATAAGCAACAGAGTCCAAGTCTTTTGAAGGCAGCTATGTTTGCAGACCTGTGAATCAACATTTAATCCAATTTAATTTGTYCTTTAGGTGTGCACAGGGCTACACCTGAGTGAACCAAAGCGGCTTTGTTCTGATACAGGTGCTCAAACCACAGCATCATGTCCATCYTGTTCTCAGAGAATTCTGCAAATTGTCAGGCAGCAGTAACAGCCAAACATGARGACAAGATTTAAAAACTAAGTCAAAAGAGAAAGTTGTTTATAAAATTTGGAAAGCCAGACTAAACATATTAAGCACTGATATTTTTTACATCTAAACAATGATTTTCCTGGAAATAACTGTTTTCTKAAGRCATTTTCTTACARCACTTAAAAGTTAGTTTCCGTCTCATAAAAGGCCAGTTATAGATATTACTTTGTTGCTATTTTTTTAAAACAGTATTAATTGGAACAAATGTTCCTAAGAAAGAACACCAGTATGGATTTTCAAAACATATATGCAAATACCTCTAATTTGCTTTACAAATGACTGGGTACTTCCTTCCAAATGCAGGTGGGGAAACTCCACATACAGAACTACAAGTGCCCCATTTTACAAAGTGGGAAGGAAATAAACTGCTATTTCCATGCACACTGAATAACCTATGAATCCACCTCAAACCAGAGATCATGTAAAAATATGAGACTTGTACAGCAAGTTCTCTTTTTTTTTTAGAGAATTTCTTTCYTTATTTTACTGGGAGGGGGAARTAACTGAAACAGCACTATGTTCAAASAATTATACTGTATTTTTATCCAGTCAACCACATTAACTATCGTGATACTCATTACTCCACCAGAATCAATACAAAAGAACCTGAGACACAAGCTTGACTAACATGTATATAGTGTTGAGCTGTTGTTTTGTTTTGAAAAAAAAAAAAAAAAAAAAAACCGAACAGAAAGAAACATCACAGAACAAGAAAAATCAACTGCAGGTGCCTGTACCACTTTTTCCTGCCAGCTCTCAGATACAGATTTAGGAAAGAGTAAGGAACTGAAGATTAACTAAAGAGTGAAAAAGATTGCAGCACAGCCAGCAGTACCAGAGATTGCCTAAAACCAGCTGGATTATGAACTTATCCTCWTGCTGCAGCAGCACAGGGCTTGGGACAGGCTAATTCAGGTTCCTGACTGCTGCAGAGATGCCCTCTGACAAAAGGAGATTCACACAGGAACAGCATGAGATACAGCTAAGTTTGTGAGGATTATTAAAAACCCATCTACATCTTTCTGCTGAATCCTTAAAACAAAAAGCTTCTGATCAAAAAGATGGCATAACATTGAAGGGAGGAGRAAAAAAAAGCAGAAAGTTCCTGAARTGAGTGTTGCATTGATTTCATGATACAAGAAAAAAAGAAAAGCTTCAAAGATCAACTTGTAAAAASTCAAGACACCTGGTCTTTTGAACTGCCTCTCTACAGATTTACCATCAGAATAAAACTGGCTTTTTGGAAGCTCTCCTACTTTAGCTTTCCCAAGAGCACTCCAAACTGAGGCATGAAACATTCCCAGAATAGAAACCATTCAATAATCACAGGGGGAAATACTGCTGCACATGTATTATGGTGACTGCTCAAACGCAGAATTCTGCTAATGGCCAACTTCATATTTTAAGACTTAAATACAGCATTGAGAATTGCATTTTCTTAACTTTTACTGATARAAGTATGCCTACCACAAAATAAATCAGGTTATGCATATGGCACAAATATGTATATGGCACAAAAGCCCCAGGAATCCCTCTCTGCTCTAATGTTAAGGTTGTAACAAGATTTTCCTTTTCCATTCTCATGTGGTATTTTTGAGACCTACTGGTGAAGTCTCAGTCTTTTCCATTAGGTAAGTAATGGCAAGTTTCTGGAGCTATTTTAGGATAATTCAGTAGAAAAAATTTCAGGCACAAGGCACATTGTTGTAAAATTAAAAGAACAGAATCAAGCTGTATCGTGCTCAAGTGGTAACCCTGACAGTCTTTTCAACAATTCCCTCTTTGAGAGAACAGGACAAGAGCCATTCTTCCACATTACAATGCAAACCAAAACCCTCTCATGTTCACCTTACTGGACCTACAGAACAGACAGAAAAAAACCCCACTCTTAATAAAGGAGAATAGAAAAAAATCACCAAAGACTGAAATTGATGTCACATCGACAGCAGTGTTCCCTTTGCTGTTGGGGATTGCAACCATCAAGGACAGAAAATGCCTTTGATCTTGCTCAGCAGTGAGTCCTCTCACTTGCAAGAGCAGCATTGATATATTTGTGTTCATCCCCTAAAGAACGGATGCTACAACATGACAGCATAGGGCCAATGCACATCATGAAAAGGAAGCTAGGAAACAATGTTTGGAAATCTGTTAAATAATTCCTGTGAATTCTCAGATAACAAAAGGCAAAAGAATAAATTTAACCTTGGTACAAATGCCCCTTAGTTTACTTATATCAGGTCTACAATTTAGTTCTAATGATCATGTGACTACTGCAGCAAAACAGAAAGGAAACAAATACTTAAAATGAGAGTGAAGAGTTAAAAGTGAACCATGTATCTTGTTAATAGCTTCCATGYCCTAAACAGAAACAACAGATACACAGCTCTGCTTTACCTGCAGGATTTCATCACAATGCCAACAAACACTATTTCTGTTTGAACAAYRTGAGTGGCTTCTAAGTGACCAACAKAGRKRTMWCACWMARAGAAATATTAAGAAAGARRCAATWTTTACTTCCCACTGATATRTTTTCCCTCYACCAAGTCTGATTATTTCTGCCCATGCCATTACATAAGAAAGGCATAAGTGAAGAGGCTGTAAGAATAGGGCAAGATGGAAAACTGCAGACCATGGATTTTTCTAGTGAGTACACCCGTTATAGTTCTTTTCATTAAACATACTTCCAATACCAAAGAACACAAATTATTTTGTTAACTGAAAACAAGAAAAATACTCCTGATAAATTAGAAATGGGGCTACCATTGAGATGTCTTTCATAAAACATCTTGTCAAAGAGCAGAAGTCACTATTGCCACAGACATTGCAGTATATGAGCAGCATGTACTGTTCCTTAAAAAAACAGCTCAAAAGAACAAGAAAAAAAGTGATTCCTCAAAAAAAAAGAATGAGTTTTTTCATTATAATCCCTCAAAGATCACCATTGCAAATTGGTTACTAATGGTTTTCTTCTTAGGAAGTTCTCCAGGACCAAGACTGCACCACTTCACAGAGCAAGGCTGAAACATTCTGCCCCCTGCACTGGGCAGTAACATCCCRCAAAATATATTCAACTTAAGACCTGTTTTTATTTCCCTCAGGTCTGCATGCCTTCATYAGCAGTCATGCAGTCTTTTCCCATAAAAGTTTGCCCTTTATCTTTCAAGACAATGCTCTCACAAACCCCTGCAGCAGCAGCAGTTACCTGCACACACTGGTCACATCCTCACTCCCCACAGGGCCACCACTGGCCCCAGCCTGGTGGCCCCCAGTGCTGTTCCCCCTCCTGACTCCCACACTGTCCCAGGGCTCTTTATCTCATCTGCCAAAGGGTTACACATGTTCAGAAAGTGGAAGGACAGAGAAAAAACAATTTCAACATTGTGTTCATTCYGCTATATACAGCCCACTGCTGACCMGTTCCACTGAAAACAGTGGAGTGGAGGGATTTGCCCAAAGCCTCAGGGTAGATCACTATAGAAACCAGAGGAGTTTATTCCTTGCTGTCTTAATGTAATCACAGCTCTTTCTGGAAGTACTACCTCTCCAAACTTTATAAGGTTTTTAGTAACAAGACGTTTTCAGAGTAGGAAAAATATGGCACAAAACTACAAACTTTAGGTTTGCATCCACTTACACTACAACATCAAAATAATCTGTTCTGCATTATGTTTACAGTAAGGAACAAGAATATTCCTATTTTCACTTCCCGGCTCAAAAAAAAGGGCATCACTTGCAAATGAGCAAAAGCATAACCAGACTAAGCAATAAATCCAAAATGACAGATTAGCAATTCCAAATTGGCTGAACTGGGGACCACATCCTTTGGCGTAATAAAAGACCATTTAGCAAAAGTGATGCCTTGATRAAGATGATCCTGGCACCAGTTCAAGCATTCATTCCTTCCAAGGTTATATAAACCTCACAAAACTGTAAATAGAACATCAAGCACCGTTACTGATGGGAATGCAGAACAGGAGGGGAAATGGATATTTGTTTTCTCTGTGAAGGCCATGGAATGCAAGCCTATTTCCTCTGTGCCTCTTTCCTCCACAGCTTTTTCCCAGTCTGAACCTTAGGGATGATTTGGAGATGAAGGGGCTTCATACCAGCTTATCTACAGAAGATTCAGCAAAGCCTCTTGATCTCTTTGGAACAATAGAATGCAGAAGTTAAAAATGGATTTGTTTTTTCAAGTTCTAACCTAATCCCCTGAAACTTCAGCAGCAATTATTCAGAGATGATTAGCCCCAGAGGAAACTTTCAAAGACTGTCCCCCAAGAAATTCAAAATTTTATGCCTTTAGCCATGTTATATAAAAGACACATTACATATTTATATACTGGTCTATTTTGACCACTCTGTGTCAATGTATAAATAGAATATATGTATACATATACATATATATATATAGATATATTAAAAATGTGCCTGTCATATCAACAGTTTCCAGGGAAAGTATTTATAGTAGATTTTTTTCAGACATGAGTCCTAAAATAAATAGTTCTACAAGGATACCCAAGATTCKACTTAACTACTAGGCATGYACAATTTACAYAGTTCAAATAACARGAGAAACAGTTACWACTTAAAKTCTACTTGTCTGCTCRGAAGYATTAAGGAAAAAAAACAAAAAACATTTTCCAAAAATGCTCTTGACATTTCCAAAGCATCCAGTACTGCTGGCTATCAGCTGATGGACTACTGTTGCTTTGCACATGCACCAGTAAATGGAAGGCAGTTAATTTGTGTACAGAACACTTCAGAAGTTCCACTCTTGTACGTGCACAACCATCAAGTGCTTATGCTACTGAAATGAAGTTATATGGTGATAAATATGCAGCTCACCTAATCTCCAGTAATTCATATTATTAACTACTAATTATGGTGATAATCAGCTGCTTCTGCATTTCCTTTTAGGAAAATCTTTTGCTATTTMTGTCAGCATGCCAGGGTTAGCCAATAGCTAGCCAGGGTTAGCTATTTTTAAATATGGATGCTATAAGGGAAAAGGAAATGCATAGACCAAAGAAAATTTCAAAAATTTCCATGTGTGGGAATCCATCCTTCATCTGAAAAACACACACAACTGTGTGCAGTTTTTTTATTTCTTACTCCAAATCACTGCACATATGCAATGATCTTTCCAATCATGCTTTCCTGCAGTTATGGATGTGGATCCAAGCTGAATTGAATAAAAGGATAAAGAGGAAAAAAAAAAAAAAAAACCCACTATCTTACCACCAGCAGCAAGTCTTCAGCCTTCACACTGCATGCAGTATAAGCAATGGCAGTGTACTGCTGGAATTTAAAAAAAAAAAAAAAAAAACCCACTATCTTACCACCAGCAGCAAGTCTTCAGCCTTCACACTGCATGCAGTATAAGCAATGGCAGTGTACTGCTGGAATTTACATACTAGGCTAAAAATTTGAGTCTTTACAACTTCAACATGAAAATACTAAGTTAAAAGGCCTAGCAATAACTTGAAACCAGAGTGAGAAATCAGAGTTTGAAAACACCAAATCTGTAAATTGACAGCTGCAACAAAAATACTATGATTTAAGTCAAGCTTAASATGAAAAAACACATGCATTAATCTTATTATGGGATTTTTAAGACTCAAGTGCCTATTTCTACTCCATACCCACAAGACATAAGAATAAATTTACTGGTAACATGYTTGCAGTAAGCACATGCTCATCTGRAATGACATCAGACTGTCACTCTATCCCAGCACAGTGTGCTTAAGACAGCATATGTAGCTGACAAACATAACTTGATTTCAATACTTAAAACAGCAAATATCCTTATGGAAAATCAGCACACAAATGGGAAGTGATAAATACTCTGCCTACAGCCAAGAGTGCACACACCACCCACAATGCAAGTGACTAYAAACAAATCACTGTAAGGGCAACTTGGATGATCAGGTCAGGTCTGTCGTTTTCCACAACTCCAATCCACATGCCACAGGCGGTAGCTGATGCAGAAAATGATCAATTTTATATGCATTATATTTAATATAAAATGCAATATATATATATATATATATTTAATAGAAAATGCAGCATGTTATATTAAAGAACAAGTTTCAGAAAGTCCCTCTTACCTCAGCCTCTTTCTGCTGGAGGATTCTATCCTTGTCTACCACTTCCTCTTCAACAGGCCTATTGAAGAAAAGCATTGACAGTAYAAAATACAGAAGTAAAACTCTCCAAGAACATATTCAAGGCTCATATTTCAATTAATATAACATCAACAAAGTCTACATGCTTCCACAGAAGGGAAATTAGGACATTCTTAAACTCACGCTTCCTTATTGTAAAAGGCCACCTTTATCTCACAGATTCCTGTTCACTCTTCATTTCTTAAAACTTGATTTCTTCACTGCTATATGGATTTTCTTTAGCAATTTAATTTAATGAAAAGATTTCCGTCACTAACTGTCCATGGTACAAAAACCAACCACTAAAAAGCTGTGTAGGCCATTTCCTTTCTTCTTTAACATCCAAAAGCTTTAGTGAACACCTAAAGAACAAGTGGAGTGTGGACAAGAGCAAGCTGCTCCAAAGGGATGCAGCAAAGGTAGACAAGGATTTTTCACCTTAAGTTGCCAAGGACAACCTTGCCAAGAATTTAAAAACAGATAACAAACTACATAAAAACACACAAATYATCAAAAAAGATTGTTTGTTCCAAACTTCTCTCTTTAACTATATAGGAAGGTGCAAGAGAAGCACCCCTACTAAGCAGATAGACTGGGGCTTATTTAAATGTGCCCACTAGTGTTCATTTTCTCCAAGCTGACATCATTACATAAAACCTATCTTGCTTGCAGGCATCTTCTTTCTGCACATTCCAATTAAAAGCATCAAGAAAAGGGGATGGATACAGAACATGCAGCTGTTTATAAGCACAGTGCTTTGCTCTATATTATTCTTCTTCAAGAAGATCATTTCATACAAATTTCAGAATTCCACAGATTGAAATCTCTGAAATAATTGTTTAGAGGTGGGATTGGTTAGGAGGAACAGCAAGTCCAGTGTCAGGGGGCAGTGAGGAGCAGCAGARCTCAGAGGCAGCACACACTTACTTGCCAGTGCGTTTTAGCCTCTCGGAACGGAAGTTCTCGTAGTGCAAGTCTTGGGTCACCTCCTGCAGGTCCTGCATGTGTGTTCTAGAACATGYAAAGGGATATTGAACACTCTGTCCTTCTCATCAAAGCAAAGAAAAACATCCTTTGATCTTCTCTTTCTGTTTTATATGATGGATATATTTACCAGAAAAATAAATCTTTACAGACCAAGCCAGGCTGAACTCTGCTGTCAAGTTCATTAACCTTTACTTCATCCCCAAGTGCCCCCACCCAAAGTATGCTGTCCTCCTCTTGGTCACTAATTACTTCAGATGAGTTATTTATACCACTTTTTGCAGTGTTAAGAAACTTGCAAAGACCGTTATTCAGAGAGATACTTTAATTCCTAAAGTATTTTATTACTCTTAAGTGCTGTCAAATATAATCTGCAACTGGGAACTAGGTGGAGCTGCTTGGCTCACACAACAGCTGACATTGCTAAACAATTTTCAATTGTCAAAAAAAAAAGGAAAACCCACTTGCTTCCAATGCCCAGCAGAGGGCAATCCCTGCCCAGCAGAGACTGAATTTGGAATGACACAATGGCATTGATTTCCAACAATAGCAAAACATCGTTTTTAAAAAAATCACCTAAAACCATTTACGCAGGCAGAATATCCATATCAGCTAAAATCATAACGGGGTGGGGTATCATATTTAACAAAGGATCTCCCATACTGCCAAGAAAATTGCACTTTGCTTTTAGAATACTCTTTACTCTGAAGAGTATTTTAAAAGCCTCTGTTAATATTTTAAAAGTTGCCCCACCAACTGCACTACAACAAAACTTCAGTTKATATGTAAAGCCATCAAGTCAGTTCATATAAGGCATAAAAATATCTGGCAACATAAAATATACAAAATATTATCTGATTTCAGAGATCAGAGGATACAGCAGAAAAACAAGCTGCAGGGAACCAAAATGTCACTCCACACTGCCATCAGGGTTAGTTTTAAATTAAGGAATTAACGTTGCTGTAGGTCTTTAGTCATTGTGACAGTGAAGTCACCACAGGAGATGGGRTCATTTTACCATTACTCACACCAGCATTGTGCGCAGCTTGAGGAAATCATTGTGCTCTGGATTTTCAACTTCAACAACTCCCCAGGGATACAGGCGGCCTCGGATTTTTTTCCCCTTCACTTCAATAAGTTGATTGGATCCAATAACAGCAAAGGGAATRCTAGCCTAGTTGAGACAGAGAAAAACAAGTTACTGTTTTGATTTTTGGCTGGTTAGTTTTTTTTGTGCTTTGTCTTTCATTTAAAGAAAGCACAGAGATTCAGGTAACAGGCAGGAGAGTGGGAAAAGCAATGCTGATAAATGCTTTCTACTAAAACCCTTCCACATCAGAAAACCAACAAATCCCACTCTAGGCAATGCAACCTCTCCTTATGAGCACCTGCAGCTTTTGGGATCAGTTTGTTTGAATAGAGGCACAGAAGGAAATGACTCTTTGCTTTAGGAACACTCGACTTTGTCCAAGTACAGTTTGGGCATAATGTGTCATCTGACATAACATCATGCATGGAGAACAGCCAACAGAAACATACTTCAGACACATAGTGAAGTAGCTGGAAAGAGAATTTCAGACATTCTTCAAACACCTTTGCAAGCACAGAGAGGAAATTACTTCAGTAAAATGCTGATTATCTGCTTTAACAAGAGGAAAGTTGTTAATTAATACAGCAACTATAACACACACAATCTCTTCCCTTGCTTGCATGTTAAAATGTTTGGGTCAGAAAACAGACTGCAAATAGTTCATGGTGAACAATGGTTTACACTTAAGAGAAAAGAAGAGAAAGTCATGAGATAYAGCACTTGGAATTCTGGTGAAGCAGAGACTGGAATAAAAAGGATTATACTTCAGAGCCAACATCCAACATTTTCAACACATCGTAAAAGGAATAAAGTACCTTTAGGCATATATAGATTGAAGAACTACAGCAGCAAAATTATAAACTAGGAGTGAAACTTGCCTTTAAAACTCTGGTTTGTTCTTTAAATTCCTCATCTTCATCAGAATCTGCATCAGGCAGCTGATAAATCCTAATGCCATGTTCAGAAATCTCATCCAGAACCTGAAAGTTGGCAAAAAAGAAAGAATATTCTTATTTCAATGAAGTGGTATTCAGTTAAAAATACATAAAATTGATTTACTAGTCTGTCACAARTATGWAGCTGACTCAGTGTCCAAACTGCAAAATAACAGCAAATACCAGATTTACATGGCAAATACAGAAGCAAAGTRRGGTTAATATGAAAAAAGARTACAAGTAACAAGAAGGAAATCATTAGTCACAGCATCAAAACTATTCACCACGTGTCAAAGTACATTTTAGTGCATTTGATACCTACAAAAATTTAGAAGACAGTACCTACTGCTTCTTGAATCAAAAAAGATAAAAGCTTATTATCCATTTTAAACTGGAGAAAGTCATTAAAAATCCACTACAACAAAAAACCCTATTCTTAAACTGTTTTCTTTGTCATTAATGTCTGTGGTTAACATAAAAAATACAGTATGTGTATTCCTGGGCACATTCTTTTCCTAATGAAATCACTGCAGGGGTGAGCACAGCCAGCATAACTCCAGGCCTTTGGCAGTTTCAAAAGGTGGCACAAGTCAATCCCTTCTTCAAAACCAAAGAGAATGTTTCTAGTGCCACACTACTGAATATAATAAAGTCAGCTCTAGTCGCTGCATCAAATGCACTGACAAGAATTACTTTCAGTACAGGAAGTGTGGTGGGATGAGGAGGGCATGAACAATGCTGAGATTCCACAATGACGCTTTCCCAAGGGATCTTGAATATTTCAGCAGAAAAGGAGAACTCTGCAAACTTCCTAGAGCAGCAACTGGAACCCCACAAACAGCACCTGAACCAAGCAGCTGCACTGCTGAATGAACTCTCAGAATCGACAAGGTTTGTGTAAAATCGGGAGGGTTTTGAAGTAATTGTAAAAATATTCAGAAGAGGCTGCGTAAGAACTTGAGATGTCATTACAACATATGTAACTGGAGATTAACTTGGTAACACAAAAACAAGCAAACTTCATACAGATGAGAGGTCTTAATGAGCCTTCTCTGAGTATTGCTGAGCTCCTTGATCCTCTGTCGTGATGGCAACCAACAGCTACAGTATAAATGAAAATTGTCCAACCAGAACTTGGTTATTAAACAGGTGTTTGAGAGAAAACAATTCTCCAGACCATTAGCAGAGGAAAGACCATGCATGAGCCACAGCTATTCCCCTGACAATGTYTTCCTGCCAGGTATATAAACATCCCCCGCACTCACACACGTGCACACGCTGAATAAAGCACTACGAGCCCCCACCTACACACAGTGCACTATTTTATGAAGAAAAAGAAATTAGGGAGTAAGTGTTGCCAAGAAGCAATTAAGACARTCACACAGTGACATTTAAATCAATGCATGTTGTTGCTGTTTTGTAAAATGGAAGAGACCTAAACTGTCACCAAATGCCAATAAAAGATGCACAGCTGGGATGGGTGGGGCAGCGCTGCAGTTTGATGCTTCAAGTAGTTGCATAAAACAAGAAAGCACATTTAACCTGGCTGAGATCTTCAAGATAAAATGCAAGTGGAACAATAACGGGAAAGCCGACAGCGAGGGGTGCTAGAATAATATATTACAGCTGTTAAACCTAGTGCTTTCCTGAAAGGAAAAAGAATTGCAATAAAAACAAACTGTATTTTATGCTCCTAACAATGAAGCAGCATTTTGCTTCTTCAAATCTGAATTTTATTGGCCTCAGAGGATTCTGTGTTCCTAAAGATTAGCCTTCCCATGGGAAATTAAAAAAAAAGWCAAAATATTAGTTCTCCTCKCATGAAGTCATTCTTTTGAGCATGTTTCCTTAGCAGCCTTGCATGGCACAGCTTGTGAAACTGTCCTGCATTTCTTCCCACTCAAGAGTTTTAAAAAATAACTTTGAATTCCAGAAAGCCCAAACAGGAATTACTCCAAGCTGGGTTTCCTTTGCAAGCACCAAAAGCTAATCTTGCTGCTTAGTCCATAGCGGCAAAACAAAAACATTTTACTTCAGATTGACGGCCAAATGGCAGAAACATCTAAAAAAAGTATGACTTCAAGCTGCGTCAGCAAAGCAGGACTTTGATTCCTACTCTTGATTAGAGACTCTGTTGGCCAAGATGCTTTGAGTTAGAACAATATACAGTAGCTTTGACTTTCAAAGCTTTGGAAGCACATTATACATTTGACTTAATATAAACTCAGTTTGCAGAGTGACCTTTGCCAGCAGTATAAAAATAATGAAAACTTGTTTACCTGCTTCCTAACCACTCCCTCAGACTACAGATGCCCTTAATCTTGTTGCACTCGGCCAGTGCATAAATGTGATGTCCATATGCCTAAGTCAAGACTGTTTTAAAAACTAGTTAGTTAAAAGTTGGTTAAATTCTCAGTGAATTATATTGTAAAATAATTAATGTTCCACATAAATGCCTCCTTCAAATCTTTCGTCATTCTGCTCCCAAATGCTGAACCAGAAGWGAAGTACCTATGAAAACTGAGCCTGAAGTGCACTGCTGAAAGGCCAAATACAGGGTTTTTTAATAAAAAGAAGCAGCTCCACAAACAATATGAGATAAAAATCTTTCACCAGGTCAGTACAGTAACAGAAAAGGAAAAGCAATAAAACCTGCATAATCAGCCACATTTTCACTTTATTATTTCYCTATGAGTTCTTTCAATTTTCACAGTGCACCTGTCATTACCTTATAGTATTCGTGGAGGAACAAAATTAAAGCAAGTGCCTGGACAGAATTTCTCCCAGCAAGATCTAAAGGTCCTTCTTATCACAATGAATGGACTTTTTAATTTCCTTCCTCCTTTCACCAGTTCACCATAAAGCTGCTCACTTCTGTACAAAGATCTCCTCCCTCCTTCAGTGGATGTTTGCCTGCATTGCAGACAAGGTTCCTACAGTCACTGTCCCCACTTTAACTTCCTCAGCTACAAAGGACTCATTCCATTTCTTGGACAAGTTTGCTTACATCACTGAGCTTTATAAAACACAAAGCGGTGCCAGCAGTACCTCACCCTGTCAAACTTCAACTCTTTACACACTCACACAAACCATGGCCAAACCCATCACTGGGGCACTGCTTCACCCAAAATAGCCCCAAACAAATCCTCTGAATTTAGGTGGAGTTCAGCTAAAGTGCTGCTTTGCAAGCATGATTTTATCTATACTATTTTCCCAGTTAAATAAAACTGTAATCCCTCATAAGGAAAATAGAAAAATATTCCCAGCATGAATACCCTTGGAATAAAGATCCAATAACCATTATAGAGGCCTACAGGAAGTTATAGGGTCACAATCAAAACTACTGTCATGCCCTGCATGAAAACGTAATACAAAAGATATCTTAACCATGAAAAGATTTACTCTGGTGTAAAATACAGACTGCATTTTAGAAATATTGATTACTGTTCTGATACTCTGTTATGATTAAACCTGTAAAAATTCACAGGCTTTATAGGGTTCAAGCCTGTTAGACTTAACAAATTACTACACTGGTTTTGAGTCAATTGAACCTGACAAAGTTTGTGAGCTCAATRAATTTTACTGGGCCGCCTGTAAGCATCATAATACCATTGCATCACCTACCCATTCCTTTCTTTAACAAGGTGCATGAAATCATTCTCAATCAAAAAATGATAAACCAGAACAGATTAAATATTTACACTCCTTGCTCATAGGATGAGAGAAAATGGAAATTCTGTTTAAAGTTAAAGACTTGTACAACCACAAATATTGATATTTTTCCATTTAATTCACTACAATGTCATGTTTGGAAGAAGCTGGGCTGTCTTGGACAGGTTTGTCAAACTCAAGACACCAAGTAAATCTTCCAAAGCACAAGAAAGGTTTTAGTACCACTGTCTGGAAAGACAGACAGTCTCCACTGCAACCCTGAGTATGTCCTGGTGTTTCAGATTAACAGATAAACTCGCAGGAAAAATGTTCATAGAACATACATTTTTCAACTGGAGCTGCAAAAGCATCCTGCTCATACATTAGCCCAGCTGTCCTGTCTCTGTATTGGTGTTTTAGTTTGGATCCTGACTGCACTTATTAAACAAGCTTCCAACTAATTGCTACAAACCATGCAGCAGAGTGCATAACCCAAGAACCTTTTGGATGAACTAAAGATCTGCTCTCAGAACACATCGAATGCACTCCCAGCATCAATGGGCACTYGGGCCACTGCACTATGGCAGCCAGTCTGAAACATCTCCATTTGTCCTTTCAGGATTGTCTGAGCCCTTGTTACAAACCCTGCTGCTCAAAACCTGCCCTGATGGGTCCACTGCTTGCTCAGATACATCAAGCCAAGACCAGCCACATTCTCAGCAAGTGTAACTGGTAWAGCACATCAGACTTCAGTGAAGATTTCCCACCTCACAATTCCCGAAGATTAGGTCCTTGGCCAATATCATTCACCCCTCTTCAGTTTGAAATTACTTTATATTTGGCTTTAATATTGTGGCTTAATATATTTGGCTTTAATGATTTGCTCTGTTCTCATGACCAAGTGTTAGACYTACTCTTCTCTTCAGCCTCTCCCTCTCCTTCAGCGTCAGGGTGTCAGCCTTGGCAATCACAGGGACAATGTTGACTTTTCCATGAAGAGCCTTCATGAACTCTACATCTAATGGCTTCAGTCTGCCAACAAGTAGGGAAAAGAAAAGATTTAAAATAGGCATGGGATCTTGTGCTGTTTGTTTTTTAACAAACAAAATGTATTAAAAAATATTTATTTCAAGTGTCCACATAAACAGTGTGTTCATAATAAATTAAGTCAGAGGCCTTGCTTATCAGCTTGGTTGTGTAAAGTCTGAGTTGTAATCAAAATTGTCACTACATAATGAACTGGATATTAAAAGCATTTGTATTTCTGGGTAATAAACAATGCTGTACTGACTGCCTTGAAACAATATTAAATGCCAAAAAGGGGACAAAGTAAAGGAGAGCATTAAGACCATTTTAATTGCACTGGCTAACTGACAGGTTGGGAAATCACTCAATTAACATTATTGCTAAGTTACGGTAATGAACAGACTTATGAACAAGGTAGAACACCCTAAAATACAAAAGCTCAAGCTTTTTCTTACCCGTGCCCAAAAGGAGAGATGAAGTAGAAGCAGCAGTGGACTCTGTTGTCTATGATGTGGCGCCTGTTCAGACCACTCTCATCATGCAGGTATCTCTCAAACTGGTTGTCAATGTAGTGGATAATTGTTTTGAAGCTGTGGTATGGGAGGGGGCAGAAAGAGAGGCATCTTACATCAGTGTTAAATAATAGGGAAAGAATAATGAAATGATAAGAACAGGAGAAACACACTTTTATTAAAAACATTACTGTTACAAAAAATTCAACTTCCTAGCATTTTATCTAGTACTGAAGAAAAATATTTTGATAATGGAAGCGGGTGTTTTTAAAACAACCACCAAGTGTCAACTTATGCCTAGAGCCACTTTCAAGTGTTATTCTGTTTACTGGATAAAAATTTCAAATGCAAGCTCAGAAAAAAGGACTCAGTTCTGAGACAACACAGACAGGAACAGAAGACTGAGGAYTTTTCTGCCTTTTTTTGGGGGGTTAGGGGTTGAAGATTTGTTTTTAAACCGGTTGACAAATGACATATCCCGGATATCCTCTTGATTTACAACCCTGACCCTAGAGCCAGGTTTCTATGGTTACCTACGAAAATTCTGGTATTCTAGTCTGTTTGAATTAAGTACTAATACATTTGCAAGTCATGCACTCAAGCATCACATGATTTATTAAGCTATTTTTGTTACCTTACAGAATTTTTTTCTGTTGGCAAAGAAAAATAATTCCTACTTAGTTCAAGGCAATTTAAAATATTCCCTACAAAGAAGTAAACGAACACAAAATCTGATCACACAGATTAACCAGACACACGGTGCAGTGACCAGAGACAGAAAACACAATGCTTTACTAAGAAGATGATTTTAAGCTRTTCCAGAGTGTGCAGACACCTGCAAACACCATTATTATAAAAGGACACTTGATATCAAGTACTGCAGGGGAAGGGAAATCAACGCTGACGTAGATGAGATTGGGCAGATGACAGAACATGAACATGTCTTAAACTACTTGAGAAAAATCTAAGCAGAAAGCTTAACTTGAGAAATAGGAACATYCATATTTCTGATGCTGAGAAAGCACAAATTTAATGAGACACACTTAAGAAGGAAATGGAGTAGATAACAGAAAAGARAATTAGTAATTTCAAAAATGAACACAGAATGCTGGCAAATGTTGTGACAGGAAGCAACGTTTGACCCACGGCTGCATGGCTGTAAAGGAGATAACRAAAAAAAGTAACAAGAATGATGGAAGAGAACCTGGAAGGAATTTGATTATACAAAGCTAAGTAAGCTTTTGTATTGAGAAGGAATAAATCCACAATAGAATCTATATACACACGTTTCCATCATGGCAAGATGACTATTCTAAGTCATACTACAGAAAACAACAAAGCAAAGGATGGAATTTATTGGGGTTTGACCTTAGTGCTACTCATTAGGAACCAGCRTCTTAATAGCTAAATGTGCTGAAACACATTAATGCAGGTTTTCCTGTTGACCTTCCTTCTCCTAGCTGGTAAAAGGTGACGAGACTGAAGACATACAAAAACTAGGACAGAAACCAAGACTAACGATGGGAAAGAACTATCACACATTTCTCTGGCAAAGTAATTAGTTTACGTGCAGTTTTCTATCTCTAACAGCTATAATTTTCCCTGTAAATATGGTGTTAGTGTCCTGTACCCCCTGGCTTCCGGGAAACACCTGGCTTATACCACAGTGCTGTCATGACTTAGGAGATAGCACATCCTGTATTGTAACAGCAAACAACACAAACGCTGCATTTAAGCTCACTGGGGGAAAATTAATATTATCAAGCTGCCAAAACCCACAAAATATAACCTTAGTCAAGTTGGAAAAAAAAAAAATTGCAGCAGCCAGAGAGCAGCAGCTATCAAAAAATGACCTGCGACACAAGCAAGATGACATAAAGTGTATGATCTGCAATATCTGTTTCTGTCAACCACCCTTTTGAGGCCAGATTTCAAAGCAAATCTGAGCATCAAGCAATTTTTTTCCTCCCCTGATTAGATCCTCTCTTTGCTCATGAAAGATGTTATTTTAAGGACATGCTTCCCTCTTGATCCCAATGTACTAACACATGAAAAGGACACTGAATGCATCAAACCTCCCACCATAAAGAATTTGCTGTTCTCCAAACACACGCCTAAACTGATGCCATGAGCAATCCTAGGCGTGGGTCTGATTCTAGAATACAGAACTMCAGCCAGCACTAAAGCTTCACACAGAATCTAAAAAATTATCATTATGGTTTAAATCTGTAACAAATCATTYCCCAATCCAACACTTGATTTTCCARTACAGCAGACCCCCTGGACAAACTCCTGGCAGCACAAAATCCTTACCAGTCCTTCTGTGACACAAAATACATAAAAATTTACCTCAGCTCCCATCAATGAAAGTCAAACTCTAAAATTTAGTCCCTTCATCAATGTACAGATGGAAACTAAAAGCCTATAGGGAACCTAGTCAGAAGAAAGATATTTGAAACACTCCCAGCAATTGTTGACTTCCTAGAGACACGGTGCCAGTTTGATTTACCTGTGTCCAAAAATAGCCTTAGTAAAATTTGTCACCCTGAAAAACAAACAGTCCCCACAAATTGCAGCTTTCCCAAAAATAAGGGMTTTATAAACCTTGGGTCACACAATCAGCACTATCTACCAGTTAACCACGACTGCAGTAAATGCTCCTGAACACAACATAAGTTCAAGAACATGAACTTGCTCCTTCCTCTGAACTACCAAGGAAGGAAGGTGGCTGCACTGGGTTAGTCTTCACTACAGTTCAAAACAAAGAGTCTGTCCATCCAAGTCCCTGAGACATCCTGTAAAGATTAACAGACTTTGTCAAAATGAAAATTACCATAGCTGAAAGGCTTTTCRTGTGACATAAGTAAAGAGATACGAATAACTGCATCTTTTTATTTTGTATCTAAGTACTATTTGTTCTTGTAGAGTATTTGATGTTTCAGATTTGTCACAGAAAATTACGTRTAAATTGTTCTGCTTGGGTCTGAATCACCGTGAACTGACTCTATTCAGAAAACCCCCAAAAAGCAAAGGGAAAATCCGCACACGTAGGTCTCTAAGAAACATCTGAGCAGAATAAACAAAGGGCATTAGAACACAATCAACAGGAAGAGCTCTCTGTAACACAATGCACAGGCTGCAGAGCTCTCWGCTCCAGCGGAAGGAAGCTCTAGTCAACAGTGCACAAAATAAGCAAGACCATGATGCAGCCCAGAAAGATGTCTTTGTGTTATTCTAAAAGTTCAATTTCTTTTCAACTTACTAAAGTAGGAAAAGAGGGAGGAAAATAAAAATCTCACTAAGGCTTCACTTTCAAACTTTTGTTTAGTATATTACAGAACTTCACTGTCTTCACTTTTGCTAGAAGCATCCCATTAGGGATACCTGATCTTTATATGAAAAAAGTTATCAGCTTTCCACAGTTAAACAGAATTGCCTGAGTGTGGTTATTTGAAAATTACATTTATTAACTTATTAATTCTAACTTTGTTACAAATTTCCCAGTTCTTTTCTAGCTACTTCATAATCTTCTCTCTTCAAAATCATTATGCTAAAGCAATTATGTTTTCCAGTGTACCTGCTGACAATTACTTCATCCAATAAAAACCATCGGTGATATTTAGGCCAGAGAGAGTCAAGTAGTAACTTAATCTTAAAAAACAGCAGTTCTACCTAAATTGCTAGTGGTCCACATAGGAGACAGGGAATGAAAATAACTGTCTTAAAAACATGAAAACTGGATAGCCCAGAGATACAAAAAGCAAAAGACAAAAAGTTTCCCCCCACTAGAATTTTGTCCTATTGGAATGGTCATTAAAACAAAGCTGACTGCAGTGCTCAGGGAAACTTTTTGAAGGAGAAGCTGTTAATTTTGAGGCAGAATCACAGACAAAGCCTACAAAACTTGAAAAACATCAAAAGTGGTTAGAAAATTGAAAGTGGAAGGTGTAGAAAGGAATAGACACACTAGAGCAGTGTTTGTGTAAGRCACACACTTTATTAACAAAGCAGTATTTGCACACGTACCAGTCCTGGCTGTTAATGGCATCTCCATATCCTGGTGTGTCAACTACAGTTAAACGCAGCTTCACCCCTCGCTCCTCTATCTCTACTGTAGAAGCTTCGATTTGAACTGTTCTCTCTATTTTCTCTAAAATAAAGGAACATTTGCATTGTTATTTGCCTATCAGCTGCTGAAGAGACCCCCACAGGAGAGAGCAATAGAGGAGGAACTGCAAGCTGAAGTGTGTTGTAACCTATACGACATAAAATATTTTATCAAAACAAATTTTGCCTACTAGCTTGTGTAACACCACGTTTTTGTTAGTAAACAAGAAGCAATGAACTAAAACGTGGGGTTACTTATGAAAATATGCAAAAATTTAAAATTATAATACTCAAAAGCACAATAGATTCTTTGTCAAAAGGTTATTTACACCTCTAACCAGGATATAAGGCACTACAGATAAAAAGAATAGAGAAAATGGGGGTTAGAGAAAAAAAACATTTAGGTATATTGATATCCAAAAGGTTTGGGGGTTGTTTTTCTAAGAAACAAAAGCTGAGTCTTTGAAAGGAAATATAAATAAAAACAGCTCAACAAAACATAATTCAGAAAATTTAAATACAGCATGAAGTAGTGTAATGGGTGAAGAATGAAGCAATATTAACTGAAAGAACATGAAATTTTATAGGGTGGAGTGTGCTGGAGGAACTGCAAAACCACATTTACCTGCAGCTCCAGGAATATAACGTTCTGGATAAAGATCAGTCAGGAACAGACTGTTAATTAAAGTGGATTTTCCTAAGCCAGACTCACCTACAAACAAAATATTTCAGGTTATTAAGCATATACACTTTTTACTCCAAGCTTTTTWAAGCACCTCGTCTTTCTCCAAGCCCACATTATGGAGGAAAAATAATTTGTTCATCAGGATCCACCCTAGCTTTTGATATAAAAACATCAAAGGTTCAGCTACACACTGTGAAAACACCGGAAAAACAAGCCTCCAGTGTTTTTATAAATGTTAAATGAAAATTGTAAGTTTACTGTAATAGATGTCACAATAAAAGCTGAAAGGTCAYAYAGCACTTGGACTATAGATCTAGAGATAGTTCAGYTACTTGAGGGAAAATACAGCTTTTTTCATTTAAATTCACAAAATCAGGAGCTGYAACTCTCCTGCTGAAAATTTCTGASAGCTTTAACGTTTCCCTAAGCTAGAAATTGAATCTGGAACACTGYTGGGAAGAAGAATGAGTAAAGCAATCCCAAACTAACAGTCAATTTGTGCAYCCTTACAGTTTAGCCCACATATGTTCTATGAAACTGAAAATCATAAAGCAAGTTATTTAAAATTCACCTGAGAAGTTTCATAATACTATAACTTCAAATGATACAAATTTTATCCTACATCTAAGTAATAAATGTGTAAATTTAACAACTAAATCTGAGTTTCAAAAAATCACTTGTTTCCTAACCAAATGAATCACAGGAGGCAGCATTTAGAATAATTTGCCATATTATTTTAGATGCTATTAGCCTGATCTTAGAGATGAAAAAGTTATCTGTATTTTTCACCATGAACTACATGAAACAAGAACTCTACAAATATCACCAATTACCTATTTATCTCACAATCACTGATGAATACTGTCACCAAGTAATCCCAAATGGTACTACAGAGCACAGAGAACAAGGAGGAAGTGTCATGCATCTCTTCTCATTTTCATTTTTCCCTAACTGCTACAAATGGGTGACGGAACAGTGGATTCCTTTTGCACATGTACWCCATTAAACTGATTTAATGTAAATGTAATTCAACATGTCACTTGGAAGAGCTTTGTGCCTTAAGAACTCTCCATCAAAGACACTCAGAGGTGCTCATTGACAGAAAGGCAAATTACAGGTTTATCTCTGACACCAGAGTGAGTCAGTACAGAACAGCAGAAAACACAACAGCAGCATCACCATTTCAACGTGAGATACTCACCATGTGTATTCATACCTTCAGTGGGGAAATAAGAGTCAAAGAAAGATTAAATAAATTTCCCTATCATCTGACGATGAATCAGGAATATAAAAATGTCCTGTTGGCTCCAAGTCATCATCTTTAATCATTATAAATACTCTGTCCTACTAAACATGACAAAATAATAACAGATTTCATTAGAAAGTATAAAAAGGTTCAAAGCTTTTCTTTCTGTGTAACAGTCAATTGCTAAGTGGGCAGATGCATACATCTATGTGAAAAAAATTTTATTGTTGTATAACAGTCAAAAATACTTCAAGAAATCACTTACCAACCACCATCAGTGTGAATTCAAAGCCCTTCTTCACAGATTTCCTGTGAACCTGGTTGGGCAGATTAGCAAATCCCACATAGCCTGCCGAGTCGGAAAACTGACAAGAAAACAAAGGGAATATAAATGAGGTCCCTTCCCCCCTAAAATTTGAAAAAGAGTTTACTTGATTCTAAACAATAAAGTGCAGGGGTATATAAAGCACAAGGAAGAACAAAGAATGAAACAACTTTTACTGCAATAGCAAGGCAGACCTTGAAACAGGCTCATTTACCAAGCAGACTGATGTAAATAGAAATCAGGTAAGTACCTTGGGCTACAYAAACAAAAGTCTCCCCTTGGACAAAATAAAAATAAAAATAAAAATCTGCAAGCTTGCGAGAAAACACTGTTATTGATTTTAAGATGTAAATATATCTAAAAATAAAAAAAAAATCTGTTGAAATTTGGTGTCTGCTGCTATCTTCTATAAAAATGAATACACTTACATGTAAAAAACAAGAACATTGGACTAATGTAGGGATTACCAAGATACATCTCTGTGTGATTGCATCTTTGGCTTGTTAAGTTGTTCACCTATCTTCAYAATCTTTAACTTCTAACACAAAAGCAGGAAGAAGAAACATGCCTGAAAAACTTATCAAAGAGATTTGGGCTATAAACAGGGCAGCCTGCTCCACCATCTGTTATCCATTGACTGAAAACCTACAGGAGCCTAAACAAGAACTGCGGCCGCTTTATTTAGGAACCTATGGGCCAGCTGGAGCCAGATGTTTTCTTCACAGATGAGTTTATGATGAGAACAGGATTTTTTACAACGCCATACACTCCCAGTGGTGCAGAGGAAATCACTTTAAAAGGTTAATTATTTATTTGCTAACAATCCTTTTAAAGCCCATCCACATGGGCAAAAACATTAAGACATTAAGGTTTGTCATATGAAATTTCCTTAGGTGAAGGCATCATTTAACTTTGCAAGCAAAGGCTGAATGTCTGGYGAACACCAGAAAGTCTATCACTAGAATCAAGCTCTATTTCTGCTAAGCAGTTCCTTTCAAGAAACACATCATAAGATACCATTTATTCACAATTTTAGCACTCCAGTAAAACCAAGAGTGTTTTCAGAAGTTGAACAGATTGTAAACAAAATCATGGCTTTGCAGCCATCTCTTTACCTTTACTTTTTCACCTGACTGAGACATGTTTCGTTACTTCAAGTTCCAGACACTGGAAAAAAAAAGCCATAGTGCATGTTAGCTGACTTGAAGATTACATTAATTCTGAACTGATCAACTGTATGTAATAATCACATTTTATWCTAGTAGAATGAAATGTCACATACTTAAAGATTGCCAGAACAAACAAGCCATAATCAAAATGTCTGTTCTGAAATAAATTACACAAGAGTATCAAAACCAATACTTAAAAATTTCGAAACAGAAATATTTCTTTTACAAGCAAGATACTAAAATTTAGTATCATAACAAACTTTTATCCATCCTGTCTTTAGGATGGTTCACAGATTGGTAAATGAAATGCAAATGTTGACCAAACAATACATTTAAGAATTATTACCACATCCAAAAATTCTCATGAGAACAGGACACCTACATGATTCCCAGGTAARGGTCAGAACATAGCATTATTTTCAGTGACTTCAAAGCGCTATTGCTGAATACGACACYGCACGGAATGAAAATTCTACCCGATGTGAAGGACTATCAAAAAAGATTTGTTCTTTAGTCTCGGACATCCAGAACAGCTGGACTTTGGCAAGCCCTTATCTCTTTATTCAAGGATGTTAGTTGTGCTACAGCTTAGTTATCAGGGCAATAGCAAGGCTCTTTCATTTCGAGCAGCCCCAGAGCAGGGACAGGAAACGCAGAAGTGGCAGGAGCACTTCACAGCTTGGTTTGTTGACAATGCAGCTCTTGGCCTGGGACAGCAGGGAAGTGACCTATGCAGGCACCTGTGTGTTCAGACTTTCCTGTTGGGTAGCAGGAATCRTTTTAGCAGGATACAGTCCAGTTTCTGACACTGGCAGTTTGACAGTCAAATCCTGGCAGAGACCTACTAAGCTCTGGACTGAAGGAAAAATCAGAGTTAGCATAATTGCCATTTGGAGTTTTAAAGAAAACAGGTCTTCAGCTCCCATGGTATTTCATTTGCCCAGAAGCAAGCACTTAGAATCCTGCACACACAGGTGCAGATACCAGCTGCCCTGTAAGCAAGGAAAGTTGTTTTTTTCCTCCTCCAATTACTTTTCTTCCATACCCAACTTGTTTGCTTACTAATAAAAGCACAATGCATCCATCGCCTGGAAATAAGGGAATTCCTGATTCTAATCATCTTCTGAGAGCCTCTAATTGTGTATTCCTCAAAACATTCTGGAAAACATCCCTTAAGAATGGTTTTGAAACAGAGAGCTTTTTTTTTTTGACCAATATGCAAAGACTCATTCCAACCTCCAGCCAAACATTGTGACAGATCCTTAAAGACAGTCACAATCTCACTGATAGAAGTAACTCATTCRTCTGTCCACATCTTGTTTCTAAATTTGGAAACCTCTGTTGTCACGTTGTCTATAAAATTAGTAACAYAGGTTCAAGAGTTTAGAAAAGCTCATAGTTCCTGAGTGCTAATGTAGATCGTCCTGACCCATTTCTCACAGAAATGCCACATGAGAAGCCACCTAGGCCAGCTGTCCATAGATAAAAGAGAGATGGGGCAATAATTCAGGTTTCAATAAGTATGGCAAATTCTCTAACTACTTCTACTTTAAACTGACAGTATATTCACATCCATTGTGGCATTATTCAAGTTACTTGATTAAAAAGCAGAAGAGTCAAAAGTGCTGTCAACTGATTAGGACACATTCAAAATTAGTCTGTCATCTCATAAAAGAACAATTCTACACAAAATCATCTGTTCCACAAATACAACTTACAAAAGTTGTGTTTCCTACAAGGCAAACCACATTCACCTTGTGTCTTACTGTGACTAAAAAGTTGCTGTGGCCAAAGCAGCAGCACAGCTGTTCTGATCACATCGTGACTGCAGCTCACACTTCCAGCACACTTCCAGCCAGTCATTTGCCAGTGTGTTAGAATAGAAATATGCTAGCTRAAAGTTACCTCAAAACAACAAAAAAACCCACAGAAACACCTGCTGTTCCAGCACACTTGAGATGCTGAAGTTCATTTGGAGCTCAATTGCTCAGCTGTGGTATTTTGCAATTCCTAATACTGCCCTCATGAGGCTTCCTCGAAAATCATTCCACCAAACAACTTCCCCGGATGACCATGTGCTGTCTTCCCGAAGCTCTAGCATACAGTACAAATCAAAACCTCAGAATTAACAAAATGCAATATATTAAATCTTACGGCACCAAACAACTGCAGGGCTCTCAGCACTGCTCACAGGGRAGAGTTGGCACTGAACCAGTGACCACAGAAACCCACAGCTCTGTCTGCACACAGCTGACTCAAATATCCAAACCACGTGAAAGTGAATCTCTGTCAACACTCTGGGTAGCCCCACACCTGGAAACTGTAACACCTAATTTCTTCTCAATTGCCCAGAACAAAATGTATTTTTTAAAAAATGTAATTAAGGCAAACCAGAGCAAGAGCTGTATCTGTTTAAAGCACATACTTTCAATCAGTATGAGATAAGCAAAGCAGCACACACAAAACAGTTCAAGGAGAAAGGAATAGATAAGACACATTTGCAACAACTTGCAAAAAGCAGYGAAACTTTATTTGTAAATAATGCTGGGGCCCATTTAGCAGGCCTAGCAGAAAAAAAGAGACACTGTGCTACAGCATAGGAACGTCCAAATGTGGTTTTGAGCAGTGGATAACACAACAAAATTTCATCTCGGATCCCAACAAATTCCTATCCTGGACAACATGATGTCTGGCAATGTAAAGGAGCAAAGTGCCACCGAGTTCAGCTGCAGCTGGAACGTGCCATCCCACCGTCCTCTGCTAAGAACAGTATTCCGGTGAGAGAGAAAGAGAGGGGAAGGAAAATGGGTCATTTCCTTTGTTCCTGTCAGGATGCAAGAAGTAAACTGTTAGGAACAGCAGACTGGGAGCTTCTTAATAGGAACCAGCACAAAGAAAGCACTACCAAACATGTACAAAGAGCATTTCCATATAAGGATATCAAACAACATTTTTAAATAATCACTTTAGAGTGACCTTACAACCATCTCGACAAACAGAACAGCCCTGCTGATTTCTCAAATGAGGCTTCTTTCTTTCCATCARAGGCTACAAAACTCTGATACTATTTTTGAAGTATTTAATAATCACAGAAAGCAGTAAAGACTTCAGCAGGTTTCTCAGTGCTGGACATGGTTTGAACAACATCAGCATTCTGAAGTCACTTGAAGTGACTTAAAGCAGACAAAAACACCAAGAATATGTCAGTAAAACACCAGTATGTGTGATTTCTCACTAAAAGAACTACAAAACCCCAGGAAGAAATGTCAAATACTGAGTCACATCAATAATTTMAAAATTACACGATTCTATGAATCAYTGAGTTGTAACAGGTGTGTCCAGCAGAGCCTGTTCTGTGTGCCATGCTTTTTTCCTGGCACATATTCACCTCCACTGCAGGAAACCCCCWCCTCTGACTCCCTCTAGATCAACAATTCCAGATAATTTCATTATTCCTCATTAGAAAGRTATTATTAGAAGGAATTCTCTTTTACACATTAACAATTCTGCTTTACTCTTATGCAGGAAAATGACTAYCACTTCCACCAAGTATGGAATTTACAGAAAATGCAACAACCCAGCTGTGACCTTTGCAGACAGACCACACTGTGTGAGCCACTGCTCTGGCTTGGAACTAATGTTCAGTGCTCATAGGTTCTACAGACTTCCTGCTGRTAYTGTATTTGAACCAAGGAAACTATACAGCAATTACTGCTGGGAATACATCAAAATTTGGAACATGCCTGTGACTTAAAAGCACACAAATGCACAGCAAAAGAAGCAAGGACTAAGCAAGAGTTCAACCACCTGTATGAGCACTGTTCTTAGAATGTCAAGAAAAGGCAATACACGAACCTAAAGCTCTAATCCTAAATATTTTATTTAAAGTTCCATTTCAACGCTAACATATGACTCTAAGCAATTTCCTTTCGTACTGTTTTGTCAATGAACACAACCACTTATAACACACAAAGGAGGCGGTGATATTGTTCTCAATTATGAGCAGTTCTAGGAATGACGTTCCTACACAAGGAGCTTTTGACAGTATTTCTGCAGAGTTAATGTGTCACAAATATACTTTTAAACAGACCCGTAACTGTGAAAAGCAGGGACTTTTTAATAAAACCTGAAACATATTAGCCACGATCACTCATCAGAAAATAGCCAGCTCTGCTTCACACCCACAGAGCTTAAGTATAATTGAGTACATACTGGCAAAGCACAATAATCCGATAAGTTTATATTTATATCACTTCCATGTCATGCTTAAGTCTCACGATACCATGAAGTCTCTGGCCTACACGTGAACAATAATTAAAGACGAAAAAAACGCAAAAAAGTAACGCACTGGCTGTGTCTGTCGCCAAACCAGGTACAGGTCGCCCTGAGCATCCCCCCGCCGCATCCCCCRCCCCCGGCAGCTGCAATTTTAAAAGCATCCGAGGAATGCCAGTGGAGACAGCACTTCCTGCTCCATCCCTCCTCGCATCTCCGGCTACTCCAGCACCGCGGCCTTGTCCACGTTTCAATTCAATCCTSGCCTCGCTTTATAAACAAATCAAGGTGTGCGCGAAACGATCCCACCGCGGAATCGCGGAGCTCCTGCCCCGGYGCGCTCCTCCCGTCCCCACACACCGCTTGCACAAAGCTGGCCGCGGGTGGCGGCGAGAGGCCGGTCCGAGCCGTGCCCTGTCCGGGCGAGCCCCCGGAGCGCTGTGGGGGCGGAGGCGCTGCCGCCGCGGAACCGAACCRCGGCCCCGTCCCGGGCGCTCACCTGAGGCTGCGGCCGCTCCCGCCGCCAGGCCGCGATCCTCGCTCCGCCCCGCAGCCCTCCCGCATCCCACACGCCACCGCGGCACAGCGCCCGCCTACCCCGCGCCACTCTATGGTCCGGGGCCCTGCCGCAGACAGCAGCGAGAGGCGGCTCCGGGAGCAGCGAGAGGAGGGACAGAGCGTCTCCCGCCCGTCCCGCCGGGCGCGGCCATGGCGGMGCGGGGGCCAAGGCTGCGGCCGGACCAAGTCCCGAAGTGCCACATCTACACGGAGTGGTTTGGTTTCTGTTTTCTACCCAAACATCGTTGAGCTTTGAGATTGCTCCACCGACAGYAGGTTTTAGCGATGCTTCTCAGTGGAAAGCCTGGCTGGTGTGACAACCTGGGGGAAATCGAGATAAACTTTGTGCTCTTTGACTGTAATGCGGTGTGTAACACAAACCTGAAGCAAATTCCTCTCCCGAACATTGTGCAAAAAATCCAGTGTACTTGTTTTACTTACACTACTCTCTTTCCTCAGGCGTTCCCTTTGGTTCTGTGAGAGGTTTGAGCGGTATCATCGCTGGAGGGAGAGTGCGGTTCTCGCCTGAAAGTTCTCTGAGATACCCGGGACTCCGGCAGACATAAACCTGCAGTGAAAATATTTACAGTCACATTACAGAAACAGATTACTTCCTCATGGGGAAACAGTGTTACATAGCCCGAACTCTAAATGCAACACTGTCAAAACTMAAACACTATTAGCAGAAGTACCGGGAAGGCTTTTTCCAACCTTCCAGCTGAAGGAAGAAAGCTCGGTTAAGTTCCTAGCAATCCATCCACACATTTTGCAGAGGGCAGTTTGTATGTGTGACCTAGCAGCAAATCTTTKGACTTAAAATCCTGAGTACCAAGCAACACATTTCTGTTTTGTCTGTATTCCCATCCATTAAGCAAACGGGGTTGCAGCTCACAACAGGAAAACGTGGAAGTGAAACAAATGCTGCTGAAGGCAGACTGGCATTATTTGCAATTCAATTGTACTCAAATTATCAACTGAGCATTGATGTGATCTGAGTAAGAACAAGATAAAAGGCAATGAAAGCGCAAGCAAATTCCATTTCCCAGAACTAAGTGTAATGTTATAACACAAAGTTCTGATACACTCTTCCTTCCTGGAGGAGTTAAAGATGGCATTTCAGTCTTCATTAGAAATTAAGGTYTTATTTTTAATTTTTCCATGGATTTGCATATAGGTGTTTTGTACTATCACCAAAAAACAGCTGTGGCAGCTTTTCTTTCACTAAATTAGAACACTGTTGTGGACACAAGATTTTGCACACAAGCACTGCTATTACAAATAACTGTTCAACATTTGAAGAAATTATAAGAAATTAGTGCAGACAGTGCCAAACCACAGACTTCCATCAACACAGAGTCAGGTGGAAGTTAGTGCTTTCCTATGACTGTCACTCCTTTCTTTGGCAGGATTTAGTGCAAGGGGTGAAACAGCCTCCAGAAATTTCCAATCCTTCACTATTGAGACATACCAATAATTTTCCCAAGTCTTGGCTGAGTCAGATCACGGACCAATTTTCACACAAAGTGTTCAGGGAAGCCACAATCCTCCCCAAAAAAGTCCCATTAGGCCAGCAAGTGATGTAAGGAAGGGCACTTGGGGTAAGAGCAGAGGTCAGTTCCAGCCCGTGCCCTGGCTCTGCCGTGCCCTGGAGCAGATGCTGAGGAAAAGATAAAAGCACTGTGCCTGTGTATCCTCTCAGCTTCCAGCAATCTGGARCTCGGCACTTCCTGAGCCAGAAGTTTTATCTTGATAGTTCTGTCTTCCATGAATTTTTCTTCTTGCTTTTTGAACCCATCCCAAGTTCTGGCATTAAAGAGCATCCTGTGACAATGAGTGTTACGGTGCATTACTCACTTGAGGAAAATGTACTTTTGTTCATTTTGAAACCTGTTAAGAGACTCGTTATGAAACTGAAGTTCACAGGAACGCCAGGCTGCAGAACTGGAAYTGTTTGGGGTGCGTGACTGAGAAATGCTGCACTACAGACACCTTCAGCAAATGCAGGCCCCAAACACACRCTAAATGTTTGTTATTTCTCACACCAGGATTAGCAGAGATGCAAACAGAAGAAACGGTTGTATGGAAGAACACTGGTTAAACAGTCTAGAAATGTTCATGCTGTGAATGGCAATCTGACTGTKAATCACTCATTTCCAGAATCATTATTTTTGAAAGATTTTTGTTTCGTTTTTCCCTTGGAAGTTCCTATGCCTTTTRTAAAAGTTCCTGATACATTTAGGTTTACATTATCAAAAGCAYGAAAGTCCTTCCTTGAATTGAAATYTTAACTTTGTGTAGAGTCACATCCTATTAAATTGGAAATACCTCATCCATTCAGCAAAAAMGTGTRTCCTTTTTTCTAGTCCTTACCAGAGAACATGGTGACACTAATTATAATAAAATAAATATAACAAAATAACTGAAAACTAACTAGAGTTTGAATAGATAAACCAACTTCACATTCCTTGGCATKACTTCCTTTAAGGTGCCACTTAAAACTGTCCTTCTTTTCAGTTGTGAGATCTCTTTTAACTTGATTTTCTTCCAGTTGTCTTTTCCTCATATAAATGAATGTTTGGATTTGAGCCWAAAATTCTGTGTGATTGCAGTAATGGCTGCACTGTAAAAGCAATTCATGGAGATATTGACTCACTACTGTAAGACACTGAGAATCTTGAACTCTTCCAGTCCTCCCTGGAGATAAAATTGCCTGAGGCCTGATTAAACAACTCAATAATATACATAAATTCTTTTCATTTGCATAAGATTTCATTTTGTGTTTRATTCAAAATATTTCTGTATGCTTTGCCAAGTTACAGTACATGGCTCCAAGCCTTTTAGAAATACACGCCACACACTCTGGGTGACATCCTCTTTTAAAAGATTACCAGAAAAAACAGCACTTTGAGTGAAGATAGTGTGAGTATCAGATATAGTAATTTAGATATTTCCTGGGATCATTTTTAGGATTTGGGTGTGCTGAAAGACAGAAATTTAAGGGTGAAGGTCCTGTTGTCTGAAACTATTTGGTAAAATGCTGATTTGACCAAAATGCCTTTCGTGGTAGGGCTTTCTAACAGAGAGAACCATTCTAACATCTCAAATTTCCTCTTGTTTTTGCAGACATGCTGCATCAGGGATYAGAGATGTCAGGTCCACAGAAAGCTGGTCTCACTGCTGAGCCCTTTTCAGGTCTGCAGCTGAGAGCTGGAGCTTGGGCAGGGTGCGAACAGGAAACCACTATCTGTGCATGTACCAGGATTTATCAACACGAGCTACTTTACAAGTAGAAATCCGTAAGAAAATCTGCAGTGGGTAAGTATTTTCCCTTGCTGTAAAAAACACCCAAGCCTCATTTTCAGTGACACACTACAGGAAATGAGGATTATGTTTGATTTATAGTAGTCTCAGAGGAAGTGTTTCTTTTCCATTTACAATCACGTACAAGCCCTCCTTTTCAAGATGCTACTTATGGCAATGTAGAAGCAATAAGAAAAGCCTRCAAATATTCTCCAGTATAAGAGACATTTTGCATCTTTTCACCAGTAACAGCCATCCTTTTTTACTGGAAACAAGTCTCCCATTTAAGAAGGAAGTCATGATTGACCAAACAGATGTGTGACATTCCCAAAAGCAGAGTTTGTCTGAGACACGTAGRGGCTGCACTGCCGAGAAGAGGTGTCCCAAATCTCTCACATCTTCTCAGCAGTGCACATTTCTTGGGACAYGAGATAAATGTAGTATATTTCCCATCACTAAMTGCRAATAGTTTTSAGTAACGTCATAGTCATGTCTTTAYTAATTACTTTCAACATCTGCAATGTATATTTAAAACAATGGTATTTGTCCTTGCTGATGCAGCTTGTTATAAACYGACACCTGATGTGATTTCCCAAGAATTACATGGGAAAAAGATCTTCCAGGATCCTGGTACGCCACAATCTGTRGAAGGAGGTTAACCCTGGAAGAGGACAAAATTAAACTACAGTTCTTGAAGGAAACATGATGTAGAATGGACCATTAGGCAYGAAACAATGTGTATTTCCTATAGCTTCCTCCCCTCCCTGCCTATGCAAGCTTTAATATGTTATGTTCTCAAGATTGTCCATAGCATTAAATAGAAGTACTTGAAGTGACATGACCTAAGCATAWATTAATTGTGATCTTTTGATGAGTGGGATGATCAAACTGTTCATATACTCATCTACATGGTGTTTTAAACTTTAGGAAAGAGTCTTCATTCCCTATTTTAACTGCCCTGGAACACCATTAACACGGGGTTATGGCCGTCCAGTGACACCACGGCATTCTCTGGAAAGCTAAATTCAGAAAACGAGATGCTGAAGAGTTGGATTCACAGCAGCTCACCAGTGCAGCACAGCTGGTGCTGACTGTGGTGGCTGGAAATGGAGAGACATGAAGATCAATTCCAATACTTGGAAGTTTTAAGTGCTGCTCAAGAAGTTTGTGTAAAGAAATTTAAGCAGGGAGATGTGAAACTTAGTTCTTGTGGTGATTTACCATGAAYGTTTTCCTCATTAAATGAGGAAGGTGCTTGTAACACTCTCAGTGTTCCCAGCCCGGCTGCCTCCAGGCAGAGAGTGTGTGTCAAGAGCAGAGACTGATACAGGGCTATGGCCCCTGTGTCTGGAAATGGATATACAGCAGCAAATATATGAAGGCTGGAAACACATTTAGAACTTCTTTCAGTGTTTTTCCAGCTACACATATCTTTCCTTCCTTTCTTTTACCTGAGTCGAGTCACATCATCTCTGAGGGGGAACAGGGCATCAATTTCTCAATCCTGAAGGACAGCAGCAACACTTGTACTAAAAAAAGAGTTGGATTCTRCATCATTAGCAGCAGTCATTGAGTACTAATTGCTCTTGCAAAATTCTGGTCTGGCTTTCTCTTTGCTGCAAAGATGATCCAAGAGAAGAAGTGACAGTCTCATGTTAACCACTTCAGCTTGTTTCCAAAACAAATGATCTTGAAATAAATCCTGTGGTGAAATGGTGCACTTTCATGTTGTAATAACCTGCTGATTTAACAAGAACTCACTTCCTATGTACAGTCTCCTGATGTGTCACACTGGCCTGAAGACACCATGGCACTGCTGACACAYAAGAACCTCCTGGGGCCCTATCCTAGTCTGGAATCCCTTCTGTTGKGAAAATAATTGCATTTTAAAGGGTAATTCAGAAAGAAGTAATCTTCAGGCTTTCTTAATAAAGAACAGCCCCTCTGTATTTGTAAATCTCCCTGCCTTTGTTTCAGCACTAATTAGAATACAAAATATGGCACAAAATCTATCTCTAATAGGATTCCTAATTCTTCACCTTTGCTTATGTCTGATCCAAAAGTTATGGTAAGCTGTCTCGAGATCTGTGGGCTTTTAATTAATCTTTTGACTCATACTCCATCTTATTCACACAAACAATATGAGGTTTGTGCATAAGATTGATTCCAAATGTCATTTTCCCCTCTGTCTTCCAGATGCTTAATGTTTGAGGGATTAGAAAGAGCAGACGCACTTAGGTAAGGGATTCTCCACAAATTAAAAGTGTGCAAGTGTGCTTTGTGCACTACATTTCAGTCCCCAAAGGCAAATCTATCCAAATACTGCTGGTGGGAGGTTTTGGAGCTGAGCAAAGCTCTGGCAAGGCTGGAGGGTGGGCACAGCATTTCTGTGCCATGGGACAGGGTTCATATAGCAGAACAAGCACTGCTGCTGAGAGCCCAGACCCCCCATTAGCAGCTCTCTCAGTAACTCTGCGCCTGGTGTTTGTCCTGATTGTCAGGAAAGGAGCAAAAACACAATCACCTCTAATCCCAAAGCCCCTCTTGCTATAGCATGGCTCCTGTGCAATTGTTCTCACTTTGAATACCRYTTCCGCCCATTTTCAMGGACTGTAAAGCCCCCCTATGTATCCCCCTAGAATAATTTAATTAATGCATAGATGAAGCAGAAATAGATGTAATTACAGGAATGGTCATTTGTTAAACAGCCACTTTGCTGCAAGAGCACTGTGCTTTTGAGTTTAAAGGAATCCAGACTTTCCCAGCAAGGGTGTCACTTACAAGGAGGGATTTTCTTTACTTAACACCCCAAATAAAACACCATGCTGATTTGTATTTCCTTTTAATGAAGTAGAGCCTATTAATTTCTGRGAGTTTAATTTCCAATGTTTTGACATTAACACTTTCAGAAACTACAATGTGCTGAAGCTGATGGGGTCCTCAGGCCCCCCAGCACTGTTTCAATAAGTCAGGTCAGCAAACTTGTGAGCACCTTGCACCGGTGGTCTCATTAAAGAGACAGACTTTTAGGAKCAGGGAATAGAGTAATTAAAAATGKAGGTTGTTGCCAGTAACCAGGATAAAAGCTAATATCTTGGGTAATGAAAAGAAACAGACAAAAGTGAAATACCAGGAATGGCAATGCCTCTAAGCAGAAAGGTTGAGTTGCCCTGTGATTATTAAGCATGTATTTCCCCAGAGAAATAATTGCCTTGGATTAAGTGATTTGTAGGAATCAGTTGCTGGGTTACAGGTAGCAAGGGAAGGTGGGGTGAGGGYTGCAGAGGTAAAACAAGCCATGGGCTGGTTTTCCTTCTGAGCCCAAAGACCCAGGCAGCTGCACCAGCCCTGTGARTGCCTCCCAGCCAGCACCAGAGCACACACAGGCTGTGTATCGGAGGAAACTCAGAGTTCCGTGCTCCTGGGCAAGTGGCAAGGGTGGGGCTTTCCTGTGCATATGGGCTAAGATAACTGGCATTTCTCACCCCTTTCTTAATTGTTCTTCGGTGCTGTTTTCTATACAATCATTATTATCATCATAAATACAGATGTTAGTCGGTTTSAGCCTGTGTTCTGGGTTTCTTCCTGTTCACCTCTGAGATATCTCTGTCTCTGTGGATGGTTCTTTTGCACATTCTCCTCTCCCTGACACCAGGGACTCTTCTGAGTGATTGTAAGCAGCCTCAGTTTGACAGACTGCAYAGCCCCAGTCACACATTCCTCCTGGACTTACACACTGGAATTTGCAGTTTTGAATAATTGAAGTAAACTGTATGTATTTTATATACAGCTGGAAGAGGAGATAAATCTTCTGAGTTGCATTTACCAGGCAGTCTTTGTTAGGAAGACATTTTCCATGCTTGAGAGATATTTACAGCTCCTCAGGCAGAGATAGTCAATGGAAGGCTGCAGTCATCMTGTGTCAGCATGTCCAACTCCATGACCGTCCACAAGTTCCTGATGTTCTTGTATTTGTTTTGTTTGGGTGTCTTGTGGCTAAAGCTCATTTTCTGGTCGTCAAAAAAAAGGAAGTGAAAGGCCATATCCAGTGAATGTGACCTTGTTGTCATCCTCCTGTTGCTACACTGGGGTCTTCTGCTGAAGTCACCTGTCAGGATGTGACTGCTCCTTGTTACCTCAGCAGTCACGTCCTCAGCTATTGATCCACGTGATTCTTTTAACCTTTGCTTATCCTTTCTTCTGCTGCTTCTGCTTCACATGTGGACTTTCCCATTCATGCTGCATTCATGTCGGTCTGAAGATATGGATCACAAACCTCTGCCTGCCACAATTCATGCTGTGCATTTCTGTATAACAGAGAAAACAGCTTATACAGGAGCAGGAAATGTGTTCTTTTTAACTCCATGATCTCCTCTACACTGAAAGAACACTTTGGGCTAATTGAAACTAAATCTAGCCAAACCAATTCAAAAGTCMGTGTGAAGATAACTTTCAATTTAGTCTAAAACATTTAACTTATTGGCAAAGCCACCATGGCACAGCTCCTTGAGAGAGCTGGTGAGGTTTCTTCTCTTTCTCCAGCCTCTGGAACTGCAGCACTCACACCATGAACACTCCCTGCATCTGCCAGCGTGGGGGCTGAGAGCTGCTGCTGGCTGCAGGGGCTGAACCAAGGCTACTTTGCAAGAACAATCCGGTGTATGAAGACACTGTAGCAATTACAGTGTCTGCCTGGCCTGATGATAAAACCTCTTGTAAATACTGTTTTGACATGGGCATTTTACTCATTAACATACCATTAAGTTTCAAACTGTACTCAAACAATTAAAACAGTAAAGTCAAGTTTGGAATCTTGGTGAAAACATATTTAAATGGTATTCCTTGCTCTTGGCTCCAGAATCAGATCAGAGTTTCACACCTGGTGTAAGATAAGAGCAGTTATTCTCCCTGGACCAAACTAAGAATCTCTGTACTGGTACTGACAGGTGACATGCAGATCCCATATTCAAGGCTCTTCCATTTTCAGTGTGGTTCCTAAGCGTTTGACGGTGTTTTCTAACTTTTGCCTGACACAGTGAGAGCTGTACAGGTCAGTCAGTGTTTAGTCTTTCCGAAAATGGTCAGTTGGACTCCCATGACCAAAACTTCCACACTGCTGGGTGCCTGTATGGGCAAGACCTCTCCGAAGGTCTGGCTGTGGACGTTATCAGTAAATAGGAAATWCACAGATAACGGCACTAAAAGGAATTTGAGCAGCCGAAATCCGAGACGAGATGCCTCCCGCCCCCGCTTAACTGGGAACGGACAGCGTCYCTGCGAGCTCTTCCCGGAGCAGGGGCCCGGGGAGAGCAGAGCGAGGTTTCCCGGCTCCGGCGGGACCCCTGGAGCAGGAGGGAGGGCCGGACACCCGGCCCCGGTCGGCGGCGGGCGGTGCTGCTGCCCGGCAGGGCCGGGCGAGGCGGGACGGGGGCGGAGGCGCTCCGCGGCTCCTTTATAACAGTGCCCGCGGCGGCGGCGCTCAGAGCCGGCTCGGCAACCGCCCGAGGCAGCGGAACTGACTGGCTGTGCCGTCCTCCCTGCGGAGCCCGTGGGACAGCGGTGGCAGCAGCATGACTTCGGCGGCGGTGGAAGTTTTGGGGCTGGGACTGGGTATCCTGGGCTGGGTAGGGGTGATCCTGGCCTGCGGGTTGCCCATGTGGCAGGTGTCGGCCTTCATCGAGGCGAAYATCGTGGTGGCGCAGACCATCTGGGAAGGGCTGTGGATGAGTTGCGTGGTGCAGAGCACAGGGCAAATGCAGTGCAAGGTGTACGACTCCATTCTGGCGCTACCGGCCGAGAGGCAGGCGGGCCGGGCGCTCACCGTCATCGTGTCCCTGCTGGGGCTGGTGGCTCTGATGGTGACCGTGGTGGGCGCGCAGTGCACCAACTGCATCCGGCCCAGCAAGATGAAGACCCGCATCGTGATCGCCGGCGGGGCCATCTACATCCTCTGCGGGGTCCTGGTTCTCATCCCGCTCTGCTGGTTCGCCAACATCGTCATCAGCGACTTCTACGACCCCCACGTGCCGACGTCCAAGAAGCGGGAGATGGGGGCCGCGCTCTACATCGGCTGGGCGGCCACGGCCCTGCTGCTCTTCGGGGGCTGCCTCATCTGCTGCTGCTCCTGCTCCCAGCACGACGACACCTCCTTCCCCGTCAAGTACTCGGCGCCGCGGCGACCCACGTCCAACGGCGAGTACGACAAGAAGAACTACGTTTGAGCGGGCTGGCCGGTTCCGCGGCCCCGCGGGAGCACGGACAGACGGCTGCGGGCCGTGAGCATCTGCRGGGAGCTCCAGCGCTCCCCTGCCTGGAGGCGTTTCTTAACGGGGACCCCCGTGAAGCGGCGGCCCTAGGCAGGGCAGCGCCCCGCTGTCCTCCAGCCCAGCTCCCCGGCGGGTCCGGCCGCTCCGCTGCGGGCAGCGCCGCTCTCGGCGCCGCCGGSTCCCGGTACTGACCGAGCGCGCTGCCGGGCGAGCAGAGCCCTCCACGGCCGCGCACATCAGCCGAAACAGCGTCTCCTGGGCCGGGGGAACCGAGGAGCCCGAGCCAGGCACGGCGGCGCTTACCGGGACGGCCCGTCCGGGCTTCACCGCCGCCGCCTGCCCCCCCGGGTGCTGCCGCAGGCCCCGGCGCTTCCCCGGCATTACCGTGAGACTTGTGAGTACTTTMCCGCCCGCTATCGCTGCCAGTGCCTCTCGGGGCACCGCCTGCCCGGTGGGCGCCGGGTGTGCGCTCTCGCCGAGGAGCAGCTTCCCACCTTCGTCACCTCTCCCGAAAGGCTTCAGGCTGGCAGTTCCCGCTCGGACTGATAAGGGGGGKTTTGATCATTTGGGCAACTAAAGTAGGGATCCTGTCCAAAGCATGACGCTAACCTTGGTCCTTAATCTCGCAAACAGTAACTGGAGAAAGTTATTTGACTCTCTTCGGTTGTTTCAGTCCCTCAGTGAAGTGTATTGGTCTCTGTATTTTGAAACCTTGAAAGATTTCAGGTAGTTGCTGTCCTTCAGTGGAGTCCAAATCAGATAACACTAGGTTGTCCCTTGAGGTTCTTCATCCCTTCTCCCTCTTCAGCTTATGCTCTGTTTTTACTTGAATATGAACTCATTGCCAGAATTATTCAAGGACTAGATTAAGAAATCTAGGAGGTCACTGTATGTCCTGACTCCAGCGGGGCCTCTGCTCCTCTCATCTGCACTACAGGAGACTGGAAACATAAAAATTGCCCCAGATAACTGATGGCTGGGGGAGGATGAGGCCTTTGTAGCCTTCTTGCCAAGCTCTGCTTGCTGCCAATTTTGAAATGTGTGTTCAGTTGGATGTGCACTTGGTTGGCTCCCCATGGTTTTGTTAACACGTGCTTTCCTTCRTTTACCAAATCAAGCAAAAAATTGCTAGAAGAATCTTACCAAAAATATCTTAAAAGACTTTATGAGAGGTGATTAGATGTGAAGCCATGACTTTCACAGCTCTTAGCTCCTCCACAGTGCCCTGGTAACAACACTCTTCAGACTGGAAGGAAGATGCTTTGGGCAACATAACTAATTTTCTGAGCTCAACACCTCCTGAACTTTGCCACAGTCAGAAATATCAGCTTACACTTTTGCATTTTACACTGCAAAGACAAACTTTGTTGAGGGAGGGGCTTAAGGGGATGGTGTGATACTCCTCCAATCTMATTACTTGTAAATCCACACGGGATTAAGCTACTGACTGTGGCAGCATCTGCATTGCCATAAGGAGATTTCTGCCAAGAGTTAGCRAGGAAATGTGCTGTTTATACTCCTCAGAGAACAACGCTCCAACCTCATAGATCTCTCACTATTGTGTAGCAATACAGTGCACACCTGACCTGAGCATTAACTCTTACAGCTTTCTGATAACACCAAACTTATGGACTAACCATAACTGTGGGTCTGACAGATTTACATTGACTGTGTTCTTGCCTTAAAACCCTGGAGGTATCAACAAATCRCAAACTGGAATATGAGACTAAAGCCTTGCCCCTGCAAATTTTGATGTTGTGTATTGAGCACATGATTTACCCTTTTGAAGATAACTACTTTTATTTTTTAAACACATAAACAGCAGGGTCTGAGCTCATCAGAGAATACAAAAGCAGAGCAATATGTCAACAACTACTTTTGCTCTATAAAAGAGGTGCAGTTATACTGTTTCTATTTAAATAAAAGCTGTAATATTGTTTTTATGATGTGATATGTAGTTTTGGTACAAGTATGAAATATTTCATCATTGCAACTTTTTAAAAAACAGTGTAACCTTCTAAAATGTAAATGTATTTGAATGCGTATATTTTGCAAGAAATTTACCAAAGTTGACTTGTTATATGGTTATATGGTTTGGTGCCTTTGTTCCATGACTATTTTATTTTAAATTGTAACATCCAAGTGTATTTGTCACCCAGCCTATAGACCTAGCAAAGGGGTGCACAGATATTAGCCCAAATCCTGCACCTCACTGTCTTTTGTCTCACATTAAAGAGCTAAACCCCTCTGCCAGACATGTCTGTATGTCTCTGAACAGTAGAGCCTTCAAAAGTGCTGCAGAATTTGGGGTCTGACCAAAAGATGAAATCTTTCTAGACAGTGCATCAGTGGCATTTCAAATCAAAACTGGTGTCTTTGGGAGAGAGAGGGAAACCCACACCTTAGAAGGGAATGTTTTATAACAAGCCACACTTCTTGTGTCACRGCAGGGCTGGATCCTCTTATAACCAAAATCTGAAACAATTACACAAAAAGACCTCTTGGAAGAAGCCAGTGCTAACTGTGCATGTGCTACTAAACACAGCATCATCTTACCAAAATCATAACTTGTGGCTGAAGTCAATAGGGCAGTGCCCAACAATACTTGCAAGAAGTGGGGCCCATTTTTAAAGGTATTTTTATATTTAATCTCATCCTTCAGTATCCTTAGTTGTTGCTGTGCTTTAAAAAATAACCCGAGAGAATGCTGTTACTGATGTCACTGGYTTTGAGGTAAAAGTCTAAGTTGGTTTTTGCTATAATTTGTTTTCTAAGAGCAAAGATCTAATTCTGGACTTAAAAACTTGGAAGTGCTGAGGATCAGGCCTGAACTCCATCCCAATGAAAAGATAAATCTATAGCACTTGTTTACTATTTTTATTTTGTATTTATGATTTCGCATAAAAATAAAAACATGTAAACCAATCCCTKAACAGGATCACTGTGTTTTGTGGAAGCCACTGGGTTGTTTGGGCTCAGGAAGGTGGGGTGTGATATTGGTGCCCAGAGAGAAATTACCTGGGCTCCCTTTGGGGAGGGGAGCTGGGTCTCCTCTGGGGCAGAAGGAAGGGCTGCTCCCTTGGAGAGCAGAGCAGTCAGCATCTCAGCTCTTCACCGAAGCCTCAGACAAAAGAGAACAAGTAGCAGCAGCTGGTCTTGTGATGTGAGCACATTAGGAAGCGGAGTGTGAGTCCCAGCTATTTTGGGAACAGCTCTAAGCATGAAGCTTTTAAAGCTTTCAATTTCTACACGTTTTAAATTAAAAGGAAAAAAAAATCCTGCTTCTTGGATCAGCCCCAACCTGACCTGGTACCCTAATTCTTTCTGCCAACCATTTATTTTCTTTTTTTTTTTAAGTGCATTCAAGCTGGGGAAAAACATTTTCACAGATGCAGCACAACAAAACCTAAAAAAAAAATCCCAAACCAATAAAGACTGGTAAAGTAAACTATACAGACTAATTGCTAGTGGAGAAATTTGCCTAAGCTATATGGCTGCCAGGGAGAGCATTCAATATTTTGCAATTTTTTTTTCAATATTTTCAAGCTTTGTTCTAAMAAACTGTTGCTTTAAAAATGAAGAAAAAACATCTTCAAAGCCTTCATTTTGCAGCATTCTTGCCAGCTCGGTTGAGATTAACAAAAGCTCCTTGCCACCCTCCCATTGCTATGCACATGCTGAGCTGGAAAAAGGGTGTCTGTCGGCTTGGCCTTTGTCCTGCTAAACGAACCATTTCATAGTTATGAATTTGGAAGTAACCTGCAGTTCATACCCTGCAAATCTGGTTAGATCCTGTCTGTGCAAAGAAGGGAAACGCACCAGGCAGAGGGAAAAGGAARCTCAATCAGTCACGTTTGCTGCAGGATGTTTAAGGAAATATTTCCTTTTCCTGTACAAAGATGTTTTTTGAGCATCTGCTCTTTGGAACGTATTAAAACATTTTACTTTTGAAGTGAGAAARCAGTGTAACTTCAGATTTTTATTTAAAATCTRTTCTCTGATCAAATAYTATACAAGRAATTTRTTCTTTTTCCTTGGCCATCTTTCAAACCCCAAATGCAGGTCTCCTCCAACTCATCCATATATCTGTAATGCTAAAAGATAATCCTGCCTGTCAGGAGTCATATGCTATATGGAAGTGCCACATTCATGAATATATTTGATATATTTGATATATTTGATATATTAATGCAGTATTCAGCATCAGATGGTACCCACAATGCATCCCTTTTTGTGTGTGCACTGAAGAAGAAAATCATTAATTAAGTACACGTGTTTGAGGATTTGCTTTTATAAGTCTGGTTGGTAAGTCATCCTGTTATATTAGATTAATTTGGAGAGAGCAGGTGAATTCTCTTTTCAGGTCAAACACTGGATTTGTGATAAGACTGATTGTGATAAGATTGATTGTAATAAGACCAATCATGCCATAAAGCAAAGCCTCAGGARGGTCTTACATTTATATTTTGGATGGGACTGACTTCTATCACTCTGACTTTGGTCAGAACTTTGTCTGTGCATGTGACTGCTCCAGATTGTTCCTTGCTGACTCTCTGCAGCAATAGCCTCCCTGTCTAGAAACTCCCTTCTTCCACCTACTACAGCCTTCAGTTAAAAGGAGAACTTCAACCACTACRTCACTGATAAAACCACCCATGGCAACAGTGAAGGCTTCACAGTTGCTTGGATACACAGGACTTGCTTCACCTTKTCTTTTTCTTAAACACAGATTGAGACATCATGRATCAATTTAACAGTGTCCTTTGTCTGTGGCATTTGGGGATTTTATTTACGATGCTGAGCTTCCCCCTCCTTTCAAAGCTCACCATGTGGATTCAACCTAAAATCTAACAGAGGAAGGTAGGGAGCAGCAGGACTCAGCATGGAAACACAGATGTGGTGCTGAAGGCATCTGCCCAGSGCTTGTGCCAGTCTTCTAATCATGCTTGAGCCCAACTGCACCCTGGCCACTCATCTATTGCCCTGAGGGAGAACTTTGCTTCACTGGAACTGGCACCTGTGGTTTGGGTTGCTGATCACTGTACTCAAATTAACTGAGAGTAATGGGGGATCATATCACACAAACTTTACCAATTAAAATGTGAAAATACTCATCAGCATCAGTCCATTTCAAAAGTGATACAAGAAAATGAATTTATGAATGAGTTTGGATGTTAACCACCCTGACTAGAGTTAACTGATGCATTTATTGAACTACTGGCTTATAGCTTTTTGATTTGAGAACAATGGAATCATGCAGCATGGGGAACTGTACATACAGCACTGGTTAAAGCAAAAGAAGAATGAGCCTTGAAACTACTATCCAGCTGTTTTGGCCTCAGCCTACAAAAGGAAGAAAACCAGAAAACACCCCTCACTCCACAAGGCACACAAATCTCATTACATTAATAATAGAGAGTAAATGACAAGACCACCACCACCTCCGATAGCCAGAACAGAACAGCACAAAAAGACTTTGACCATCTAGAAAATCAAGCAGAAAATAAAATAAGCTGTGTCTTTGATCCTCCTTAGAGCATCTTGAATGGCAAAAGCCACTCACAGCAACTAAAGTCCTGGCAGGGTATTCATAGCAGGTACAAGGTGTTCCTGAAGCCCAGCTGACATGTCATCCACATGAATTACCACTTCTTTTGGAAAAAATAGCCTAAGTTTAGGCAGCATGAAATGCCTCAGTGCTATTATGTACAGTAATAGCAGTGGATCCATTCTTTATTACACCTCAGCTCCAAATCCAGGGATGTTCCCTCCTGGTGGATTCTCCAGGCTGCACCAGCCAGGCAGAGAGTTTGCACAGCCCAGGGAGGCACTCTGGTGTACACAAACATAACAGATGAAGCCTGTTCATGTTTATTTACAGTGGAGAACAAAAGTAAATGTTTAAAATAGCTGATTTTCCAGGCAAACAACAGATAACCCTCTCAAAAGTGACTCTGATCCAGTGAGCAAGCCCTGAACTCAGTGCCAGTTGTATCATCCTGTGCATCTTTCATTTCTGGCTTCATTCTGCAAGGAGGCAAGTTACACACSTGCACAGTTTAGGTCTTACACCTTCTAGCACCAGCTGTGCTGGCTGTGGAACATTTTGGATTTTTTWAAAAATAAGCAGAAGATTTTCATGGGTTGAACAAATGCACTAAAAGCTAGGAGATGTGCAAAATCAGATCCTACGACAACAATTTTAATCTGGTAGCAAAAAGATAGTTTGCAATGTTAAATGCATTTGGGTTTCAGTTGTGTATATTCTTAAGGTTTCAGTCAAGCAGACAGAGCCCTGAATGACATTTCTCTTGATGCCACGATAGGCACTATGACAATTATCTAACCACATGTGGATACCTCTGAGCTCTGTTCCCACTCTCAAAGATATTCTGAGCTGAATYGATTCCTCTCTGTTGCACCAATACCTAACTCATTAGCATTAACTGTGTTTGTTATCAGAACACTTCCATGAAGGTTAAACCTTAAGAGAATTTAGGCTTGGACACAAAAGATCACCCAGGAAAGAAAAATAGGCACTGCTTGACGAGAACATATGTGAATTCTCAAAATGGTACGATTCAGTTTCAATATACCTTCACATATTTGAAGATTGGGGAAAGGAACAACAATCASCATTTCCTATCAGCTCTAACAAGTGCCTAGCACGGCAGAATTCTTGCTCTATGTATATTTTTAGATTACTCTTCCAGTCRTAATGTTCTGTCCTTACTGTATATCTTTTGTTAGAATTAGGATATCTGCTGCAGCAGCCTGGATAACCTTTAGCCTGAGCTACAAAACCTTTAACAGTTTCCAATTATAACAGCAATCTTTCATTCTATAATACAAATAAACCCAAGTGTTATCTCAACACAGAAGACTCACATGAATACCCAATGACTGCAGAATGATTTCACCATTTTTTTTCCTCTATAATTTCCTGCTATTATTTCATTGGAAGTGACTGCCAAGATCTAAGCAACATAATACATTTCACTGTTTACTTCTACGTTATTTTTGTTATACTGTTGACATTTCAAAATGTTGACAATGCAAGGCAAGTTTAAAAATTTAACATCTACTTGAATTCCATTATGTTCTTGAACCCTTACATTATTTTTAGGCTGTCCCATTTTCCCCTGTTTGTTTGTTCTTGTCCACTTGAGAATATCAATGCACCTGAATACCTGCCAATTTTATAAAATCTTAGCTACCACAATTTGCACCATGGAAGAGGAATTTCTATSTTCAGAAATGTCTAAGACACATGAATGTCCCTTTTCAGATACATGGAAATAGTTTGCCTATAAATATAATCTTTGTCTACTGTAACAACATGGATTGAGCAGCAGTTTGGAAAACGAGCGTTCCATTGGGTGGTTAAGGAAGAAAGTAAACAAAGGCATCMTTAAAGCAGTTATTCTGCAACTATAGATAGAGCATATCCCCAGAAGCCAATATCATGCTAAAACTCTAGGGGCAAAATGCTGCTGTTTGGATCATATTAAAAGAGACTTCTTGTCTACCTGGGGTTATTAATGACTACAACTGTTTAAGACAACCATATCATCATTATAGTGTCCCTTCTAAAAGGAAAGCTATTATCCATGGCATSGTGCCCAGATTCCTGCAGAGCTGATTACATTCTTTAGAGCCTTTAGTTCAGTACTGCCATCCTGACTTCATACCTGGATGCTGTACGGYCTCATTTCACACACTGAAGCCATTACTGACATCTGTCCTAAAGGCTGATCATTAGTGGTGRGAAGAGCAATCCATTTTTCTCCTGCCTCTCTCACAAGGTTGTAGATATTTTTTGCTTGCTGTCTGCAGAATGTATTCACAGCCTTGCAGAAATGCCTCTGGCAGATTGAAGTGCAAGTATTGAACTCCACTGGTGTGTAGAAAACAAGCTCACTTCAAAGGCAGG